GACTTCTCACCCACAACTTTGCCAACAAGGCTGACATATCCTTGGGCAAAAGGAATTAAGGCCTGGGCACGTGCTGAGCGCTCCAGCTCCCCGAGTTATGTAATATCCCAAYCTAAGTTTAAAAACAACAAACTCTGGCCCCTCTCGGTTGCAAAACCAGCAGAGCTGGAAATATTAAGCAAACCTCTCGTCCTGGAGTAACTGACTCGGTGCCCGTAACACACCWCGAGCTAAACCAGGGCGGCACTGGAAGGAAATACAGCGCTCCAGCTTCAAAAGGACGTTCCCGTGAGGGATCTGCGGGCCCGGATCCGCCGCGGCCGACCCACGGACCGTGCTGGGAGTGCAGCCGCAGCCGCAGCCCCGATCCCGGCCCCGTTCCCGGCTCCAATCCCGRTCCCGRTCCCGMTCCCGCCCGAGGCTGTCCCGGCACCGCCAGCACTCGCGGTCCCGCCTCGCCCGCCTCTCGCAGCGCGGCCCCGCCCACCCCGGCACGACAGCCAATAGCGAGAGCGAGCCGCGAGTGACAGGCAGCGAGGACCAATCAGAGGGCGCCTTGTTGCGGTGTGGCGCAGGCTCCGGCCCTATAAAGGCGGCCACGCGTCGCGGGCGAGGGCCCGAGTACGTGTCTGAGGGGGAGGCGGCGGTGGCGGCGCGGCCGGTGCGGAGCAGCCGCGGGGAGCGGGATCGGCTCCAGCACCAGCATCGGGGTGGTTTTAATTAGACTCCGGTCGGCCCGGGCTTTATCGGGAGCGGATTTTAAAGTGAGTACGAGCGGGATGGCGGCGGCGGGAAGGGGGAGGGGTGTGAGCGGACCGGATCAGACCGGCCCGGCCGGGGAGGAGCCGCCGCGCTGACCCGCGCTCGTCTCTCGCAGGCGCCTCTCGTCCCTCTCCCTCTGCGGACGGGGCACCATGTCGGAAGCRGAGCAGCAGTTGGCGGCCGGCGCCACCCAGAACGGGCACGAAGCGGCCGAGAGCGCGGGGGAACAGCAGGCCGAGACCGGTGGGGCTCCGGCGGCGGCGGCGGCGGGAGCGGCAGGAGCAGCGGGAGCGGCGGCGGCGGCGGGAGCCAGCCCGGCGGCGGGAACAGCGGGCACGGCCGCTAGCCAGAATGGGGCCGAGGGCGACCAGATCAACGCCAGCAAGAACGAGGAGGACGCGGGGTAAGCGCGGGCGCCATGTGCGGAGCGCTGGGCCCGGCGCGGCCCTGCGGCGGCGGCAGCGCCCCCGGCTCCGCTCGACCGGCGGGGAGGGCGGCGGGAGCGGCCCCGCCGAGCCGGGGCCCTGCAGCACCAGCGCTTCCTTTGTTCTGGCGCTGCCTTTTGTTGGCGCCATGTGGCGGCTGGGGGAGGGGCGCCGAGCGGGGCTGTTGCCGTCTCACGCGGTAAAATGGAAGGGGATTTACCTCTCCCGCGTTTTCTTACTCCTTTCCCTCTTTAGCGAAAGGGGCGGATGGAAGGAGTTGCTTTCTGTTGGGGGAGGGGGCCTGGTTGGAACTTCTAGGGATCGCGTGGCCCGTCGCCACAGGCGTCGATGTAAATGCGAATGTGTTTTCTGTAAACCGTATAAAAAAAAAATCCTGGCCTTGGAAGGTAGTGGGGGTAAGATAAGCATTTTTTTAAAGGAATTAAGGGGAAAAGCAGTACGATTGAGATGATGCATGGTGTGTTTAAATCCGTAAGAGCGATTTTGGTGTGCTACTTWGCAGCATTGTCAGAAAATGCCTTATGCCTTGTGAGGGATTTCTGGAGGAGTCAGTGTAGTTTCGCTGTGCTTTGGTAGCAGAATCCTTGTGTACACAAGAGGAATTTCTTACACTGATTGGTCTCTTAATAAATATGCGTACTTGACACGAACACTACCTGCCCATTTCTCAAGAAGGTCTTTGTTATTCAGGCTACCCCATGTATTTAATTGGAACTCTCTTTGTTATTGCTGAGCTCTGAACTACAGGGTCAGATCCCTCGCGTTAAACAGAGGTGAAGCCAGCTTAATAAATTTTGACTATAAAGGAACAAATAATACTTGCACAAGCTGGGCCGGATGTTGATTATGCAGACACTAGAAAGGTTGAGAGCCAGGCCTTTTAGCTGTGTACGTATTTTTCTTTTYGGTTTCTACTATTTTGTGGTGAAAAAAGGGTGATAATCTTTTCTTTCCATGAACAGGTGACAAGCTTCAGCATGAAATTACTATGAAATGAAACTTGTAAGAAAAGCAGTTTTTGAGAGGGATTGACTTACGTGAAAAAATACATTGCTGTGCTCAAAGTGAGAGCTGTCCAAGGCACTGACTTTGAAGTGTTGTGTTAGGAGCTGAAATAAGCTTCAGTTTGGCTGCACTAATACACTCAGGAGGGGAAGAAAGACTACGTGTTAAGGGTGCAGTTGTCCAGTTCATGTGGCCTCTGAAGGCAAAGCCAARTACTGATATTTTTGTCTTTTAAAGGCTCTTTATTGTGTTGTTTAAATTAGGTAGCAGTTTTTCCAGTTACAAAACAAAGCTCTGCAAATTGCAAAGTATAATACACTCTGTTGCAGTAAGAGGTGAGTTCAGCATGTGGCAATGCCACAGCCCCAACCCGATGCTATAAAGCAGCCTCCAGACAAATTTATGTCATCCCTCAACCACGGAGCTTCTCTTGATCGTTCYGTAAGTGTGGTCAGTGATGACAGGGTGTGTTGTGGAAAGCCTTTGTCTCCAACTCTGTACAGGTTATAGCAGCCATAGTCAGCTGTTGGGATGGGGAGGAATCCACCAAGCCCCCKTCTTTCCTCTGATATTGAAAGGCTTAGTAAACTTGGTAAGTTTTGTTCTCTAAGGCTCTGTTGTAATGGCTGCAGGAAGCACACACTTTACTTGGACCCTGTGCTTCCTGCTKCACTCATCAGTTAAGAGTGCACAGCTTAGTCTGCTGAAAAAACTTGAGTTCAGCTGACAAAGGATATGGTTTCATCCAGTTTAGGAAAAAAGGGCAACAACCCTTCAAGGTTCCTCCCCTTGTTACAATTTGACCATAAACAGATTCCAAGTCTAGCAAATCAAAGTTACACATGAACACCAAAAGCCAATTTTATTTAAGCATAGTGTAGTTTCTGAAGGGCTGCTAGCTTCTAGTGCCAATCTAGGTTGCCTCAAACAGAGTAATGACAACTTAAACTGTTTCAGTCTATAGTTAGATAAAAAGGCTTGGATGCTTTTAAAAGCTTAGTTTGTTACCTTGGAAACTCTGAAAATGGAAAATACAGCCATGTTATTAATGTTTTTATTTGAAGTGAAGCATTTGAGAAATGCCTTATTGCCTGATACCACTGTTTTGTTTGTTAGTTTCACTTCAGTATTGTGCCTCAAATTTATTTCTTTGAGATGGATATCCTCCTTCAGAGAGTATTGTGTATGGGAAAGTGGRCAGGGRAGAACTGTATCCACCTGCCTGGAATTAAAGACTAAGAATGGAGTGACTCCTGTAGTATTGGTGAAGACAGACTGAGAGTCAGTAACTAAGCAGGAAGAAGTGTACAACATAGTAGTTAAGGCAGGTCCAAAGTCCCATCTGTTGTATGTGACTGTTATTGGAGGTCACAGGTACCTGGACTAAAATTTCTACAGCCATTTAACTGAAACATAAGAAAGCACAAATACTTTGGTTTTGATGCCTTATTCATTGCTGATTGCTTTCAGAGTAGTAGGAACCATCATAGGTTCTTTGCAAAAACTGAGTTGGCAATAATTGATAATTAATACTGCTTCAGTGCAAATCATAGAATACTTTTGTAAGAACATAAATTACTGGCAAGGAATATTTCATGCAGTTCGTACTATTTCTTATATCCTCTAATAAATGCCAGGGAACATTGTGGCATTCCCTCAAAAAGAGGGGGGAGAAGCCCACCCTTTTGCAATCCTGTAGTATCAGCAGCTTTTAACAAGATGCAAGCATTGAACTCTGAACAGTTGGTCCTGTTCTGACAGTGCTTCTGAGGTGTGTACCACTGAGCATCTTAACTGCGTGTGCTTTTCTGTAGTGTTTCCTGAATTTAAATAGCTCTTCTCTCCTTGAAATTTCAGGAAGATGTTTGTTGGTGGCCTCAGTTGGGATACAAGCAAAAAAGACTTGAAAGATTACTTCACCAAATTTGGTGAAGTAACCGACTGTACGATAAAGATGGACCCTAACACAGGAAGATCCAGAGGCTTTGGATTTATTCTCTTCAAAGAACCTGGGAGTGTTGAAAAGGTGAAATTAAGCTTTGTATTTTAGATCCTTAACTTTTAGGGGGAGCTTTGCAGCTTGAGTTAATCATACTAAAATGTCTTTCAGGTTCTGGAACAGAAAGAACACAGACTAGATGGACGACTAATTGATCCCAAGAAAGCCATGGCAATGAAAAAGGATCCAGTGAAGAAAATATTTGTTGGTGGATTAAACCCAGAAGCCACAGAAGAGAAAATCAGGGAATACTTTGGAGAGTTTGGAGAGGTGYGTAATGTTAATCTTAAACCCTGARAGTATAGTCTCCAGTTGCTATTTACTTATAATTTGCGAGTTTCAAAGTGAGTTAAAGTCAGATGTATCAAGCCTTCTGTAACRTCCAGAGGTTTCCCATCTTGAAAGCAAAGGTGGCACTTAATGCACTAGCTAGATACCCTTCCCTTGAAAGCATTTTAGCTGATGTTAAAATCAGTTTGAAGAGTTGTAAAATGGAAATCTCTGATTTGAAAGTCAGTGTTATCATAGAAAGGCTTGCAACTTTGGTGTTGCATAATATGCATAGAGAGAAAACTTGTTTTACTGTCCCAATTTCTATGCATTTTACTGTTCATCTAAAATGTGAGTCTGAAAATAGTATTTCATGTCTTCAGATTGAAGCAATTGAACTGCCAATGGATCCAAAGACCAACAAAAGGAGGGGGTTTGTGTTCATCACTTTCAAGGAAGAGGATCCAGTGAAGAAGGTTTTGGAGAAGAAATTCCATAACGTCAGTGGAAGCAAGGTAGGAGCTCTGACTTGTAATTCTTTGCCTAAGCACAATATTTCTGCATCTGTAACCTAGAAAGGTTTTTGTAGACCTCTTGTGTCAAGGCACCACATTTACAAGAAGGACAGCTTGAAGTTTACCTTAGTGGTGTTTTGCCTTAAGTTCAGTCACAGAGGCTGTCAAGGCACTTTGCTAGTATTTGTGTCTAATAAATGCTGTGTTTCAGGGCCTTTTGTATGTAAAGGATCTAATTGCTTTCATTAAATATATGGGAGAAATTGGTTTATGTAGTGTAAGCCATTCCAWCAGGTAGATGCCTATTTTCAGCATAGAGCACTTGCAAAATGCACGCCCTGCAGACATTTAACTTAATAAGCATCTGGCTGAAACTGGCTCTGTCTGCTGGGGAGCAGCTCCTGCATCCTTCTCTCTGAAGCACCTTCCTGCAGCCCCCCCCCCGCTACCAAAACTCTGTCATGTAAACGCAGTAGAAGAATCCAGAGAGTGAAGGTAAACTTAGGGCAGCTTGTACCTGGTCATCTGGTTATGGGAACTACTGTAAGAGTGGTGTGAGATGCTCTGACCAGCTGAGGGAATAGCTAATGGAGAGAGGCTTATGCATCAACAGATAAGAAGAGGACTGAAGGCAAATGATGTGYACTGGCTGGAARTGTCCCTATTCCCTTGCTCTGAGACCAGTGCTGTCATACTGTCTGACATTGACTTAGATTGCATTTGGTTTAAGACTGGTCTTGACACAATGCAGAATAAATTTTGTCACMCCTAATGCATTGGGAAAATCACTGGTTTGCAGTGAAGTTTGTTTTCAGGAGACATGAATGCCAAGGGAGCTGAGAAATTTCTGTATCATATAACTGTGACTTGTTTTTGTGTTRTAGCCATAGATGATAAAAAGCAGATTATATTAAAGGTCCTGTGGGGAAGAASTCCAAGCCAGACTTGCTCAGGTGCTGTTGTTCCTTTTGCAGCAGCAGTAGCTTTAATCTTGGACTGTGCACAGCAATCAGGCAGCTGGCTGACAGCTCGACCTGCAGCCTGGGAACCTGTCTTGGAAATGCCAGTTCTGGTTGGTTTTAGCTGTTAGTATTTGGCAAATTTCGATTTCAGGCATTGGTGGGATATGGTAGAGTTCACCCACATGCAGTGTGTAGGGTGTACAATGGCTGCCAGGAAAACTCATTCTGGTGCATTTCCTTATTTGTTCAGTGCAGGTTAGGTGAAGCAGGTTGATAGCAACAGCCTTGTCCTGGAGGTTGTGCCAGGTGAGAGGGCAGCCTTGTGGCTCCTGCAGGAGAGGTGGCTTCAGCACCTCTTCCATGGGGAAATTGATGGTAGGGAATAGGCAGGATAAAATGTCCTGAATCAGTGGTCTCTTGGAAGGGCTGACAGTGACTTATCTTTGCCTGGGTGGTAMAATAAATCAGATGCCCCTGGATATGCATTAGTGCTGCTCACCTGACAGGAGCACAGCACATACACCTCCTTTGCCTCCARAGGAACCTCTGGCTTTTCCAGGTGCTTGGGTTGGGCAGTGCTGCTCTGAGGCACTTCACATACTCTTCCTTGTTTTTTATTTGCAGTGTGAGATCAAGGTAGCACAGCCAAAAGAAGTGTACCAACAGCAACAGTTCAGTAGTGGCGGAGGAAGAGGTAGCTATGGAGGAAGAGGCAGAGGTGGAAGAGGCGGCGGTAAGTACCACACACACTACTTTAGTATGGACACATTCTAAATAAGTTGTGTGTACTAAAATGGGATTTTGTGGATGGTTTTCCCTTCTATAGCTCAAAGTCAAAATTGGAATCAAGGTTATGGCAATTACTGGAACCAGGGTTATGGGAATCAAGGATACGGCTATCAGCAAGGTTATGGTGGCTATGGAGGCTATGATTATTCAGGATATGGGTATTATGGATATGGACCAGGCTATGATTACAGTAAGTAAAGAGAACTGTATTGGGTATAAGCAACCATAACTAATTAGCAGTTTAATGCATTTGTTCTCTTGTTCATAGGTCAAGGCAGTGCAAATTATGGGAAGACACCAAGACGTGGTGGTCATCAGAATAACTACAAGCCATATTGATCAAACTTATTCAGGTATGCAGTGGCATGGTCTCTTTTGGAAAATGACTGCATAGGTTTTGTATACAATGCTGTAGATGGATACTTCAGTTCTGTACCAAATTTAACTTCACAATAAATTTCTATGGCCTGTTAAATGTGCATCTTACTTGGAAGAGCTCCCTGGAAATGTTTTACATGTTTAATACTTACCGATAACTAGTTGTCTAGACAGTGTGGTGTGTAAATTTCAGCATTGCTGAAGATATTAATTAATGATTTTATTAATAGGTTAAACTGAAACTGATTTTGAGGGTCTGCTTAAAGCTGCAGCTCTGCATCTAGGGACTGCCTCTTGGAGTTAACTATGGACTCTGCATTACTCCAGTTGTACAGAATGAGATGCATCTTAGGGAACCAGTGTCACTTTCCACCTTTTTATTTTGTATTGTTTTTGTGTCATACATTTCCTGTAATGGAAGTGTTAATTTTACTGTACTTTTTGGTACCTTTTTGGAATCTAATGTATTGTAAGGTATTTTACATGTGTTCTGATTCACCATGACATGGATATTGACGCTATCCTAGCTTTTGAAATAAAAAAGGCGTAATCTAGTGTCTTGTGCCATTCTTCAGCCCATGTGTTAGTAAAACACCAGTATCCTGTTCCCAGATCTTAGTTTATGGCAGTACCTTGATAGATGAAGAGTTGTGCTTTAATGTTTTTAATCTTAAAGCTAGAAGGCTGTTTTGGTAGTTGTGTTCATTTGCAGTTAAGTGGCAGCTAAAACGTGCTGTTACTTCTGCTTGGAGGTTGTGGAGGAGAGCTCAGGTGAGAAGCCCCAGCTGTGGTGGGACTGTGCTGGTGAGCTGGTGGCTCATGCTCTAGGCAAGCACAGAGGCTCAGAGTTACTGTAGTGGTGTCTGCATTGGGCTCTGCTATGAGAAGGCAGAGCTGTAGGTTTCAGGTAGGGCATGGGAGTCTAGACAGCATTGCAGGAGGGAGCCACGAGGTGTGCAAGAACCTGGCTGCACTTTCTTCATATTTCACTGTCTTGAGTCTGAGACTTGTCTGCAAGTTGTTAATAAGAGGTACATACCTGCCTTGAAAGGCAGGTTGGACAGACAGGAAATTACCAATGCAAAATCTGAGTTTTGGCAGCCTTTTTGTATAACAGAAAAGGCTAAAAGAGCTTCCACTACACTTGCGGGTGGAAAAAACATCTCTTTCTCTAGAGATGAGTGCCCAGCTAGAAATACTCTCTTTTTTTGACTTTACTATTCCTTTACTGCTATTTTAAGGTAGTAACTGTCATGTGATTTGCCTGTCTTGTTGCAGAATATAAGTAGCAAGCTCTATTGCACAAAGTAAACTTATAATCTTTGTTGCAGTGATCAATTTGATTTTTAATTTACTTTTAAAGCTAAAATACGGCAGTTTTTTTTCTTATAACAAATTCTCTTAGAGTAAGTAACACCAAGAAGTGGAATCAAACTAAGACAAGAAACAAACATGTTACTAGTGACCTTTCCAGTTTTTTTTTAACAAAGGATATAGCTATATCTGCATGGATTATAATCTGCTGCTCCCTGCTGGCTATCCTTGAAAAGAAAAAGTTGCTTGCAAATTTAAAAATCTGTAAGACTCTTCTGGTGTTAAGTGGRTATCTTCAATATAAAAAAAATCAGATTTTAAATCTTCTAGTTGACAACTCTACAGCTGGACCATGTAACCTCCAGTCCATCTTACTTGCAAATAAAAAAACAGCAGATCACTGAAACAAATGAGTACAGTATTTAAAAGCATTACTGTCTCAAGATTTAAAATTTAAATACTTTCACTGATTTTTCTGTGAAATAAGGGGTAGCAGAATATTTTTCTAGCAAACACTGGGCCCTCCAGTGGGAAAATTGCATGGTACCAGGACCATTGTGCTACAGTCCTTCTGGCTAGTAGTGTCCTAGCAAGAGTTTTTCAGCTGGTGTTATTGTGGTGGTTTTTGTATGTAGGTGCTCAGGTAATGCTTCCTTGACAGGTGATGTGGCCTTAGGCAGAAACTGAGGATACTGGTACTTAAATGCAGAGCTGGCTTTTTTCCCTTTCTTCTTTGCATGAAAAGTTTGTGATACAAAGAAATGCCTGGTGAAAGTAAAGGCTTGTACACAACGTTGTTGCTTATGGCTGTAATCTACTCTTAATTTACTTATCCTACTTGGGTATTTCTTGAGGACAGACTRTGTTTGTAAGAACTTGTTTGGGAGCCATGGCCCTCAGCTGTTTGTCCCTGATGTGTTTGATGTTAGGAATTTGAAACTGAAGTTTTTGACTTAACCTGGTGGCTGAGAGTGTTTGTTGAATATAGTGCTACTTAGGGACCTTGTTCTGACAGTGGCTGCTGAAACTGGTCAGAGGAGCCTGGGAAGGATGGGTTGTACTGGCACCTGGAATGGTGTTGGCATAGTTAGCTGAAGACTTCATTCAGAACACCCATTGGCTCATCTTAATTTGAAAAAGTGCATAAACTTAGAAAATGAAGTTTGTAGTGGCCCCTAGAAAGATCCTCCGTTATAATCAGTTTTAGATATGCTGTTTTAAATAAAAGCCAATTCCACATTGCCAGARTTGAGACAAGCTCTTGTAAAATTTATTTCTCCTAAAGCTTTTACTAGAAACAAGATAAATGAAAACAAAAAAAAAATCAAAGGTGACTTATCTGGTCTAAGACATGTTAGGATGAAGATTAAATGTGCATTATTATAGTWGAATAATGTTTCTTAGTAGATCTTGAACATTGTTTGAAACCTATGGGAAGAAAATAATGTTACTTTTTTTTTTTTGTAAAGTATCATTAAAAGATATCTACTTCATTGCCTCATTTTCGCTTACATTATATGTAAGTGTCTTACTAGTACTGTACTTAGTAAGAGGCTTTTTGCATTCTTSGTTTCCTGCAGAAAATAAAGGCATTTTTCTTGCTTAGTTTAGATTRCAGACAAGCACATTAAGTCATTAGGCCTCTAAGTTGCACTGGCACTGTTAAGTAATTTTTCTGTTCTTAAGAATAAGTAGTATRAACAGCTGTATGTCTTTCCATTAACTTGCTAAATAAAATATTAACACATTTTTCTTGTGCCTGCTATACTAATATTACACTGAACTAAAAACACATTTCTCCTTAGCTCAGGGCCATACAACTGTGACCCTCGTGGTGGTTGAGGCCACCAATGATTACACTGCTCACAATGATCATCCTAGGTGCATTCCTGCTCAGCTATCCAGAGTTCTACCAAACATGTGGTTGTCTTTTAGTCAGAGTAGTGTGAAGAAGTACTAACTGTAAGTGTACACTGTGCTCATGAGTGTGCAGCAAACTGAGTTGCAGCTAGATGTTCTCCTGGCAACCAATGGAGGGACCTCAACAGGCAAAGACCATAACAAGGCATTGAAGACAAGGCTTTGAAGGACCAGTCTTACTCTGATACCCACAAACTACTGAGTCTAGGAGTAAATTGATCTTGAAAGATAAGATCCCAGCTGTGAACCTAAAATGACACTTAAGGGGAGATCTGCTGCGAAGTGGTTGTGCAGCTGGAGCAGCTTCTGGCTGGAGCCTTAAGGCAGKGAGCAGCAAGCAGAAGAGCTCTGTGTTTGTGTTGAGCAGTCATCTAGAGGCAGTCACATCTGGGACATGTTGGCCCCTCACTTAGAAACGAGATACACACAGTATTGCCTGGAGTGTCAGACTGATAGAAGGTAGTTCTGAATGCTAGATGTACACAAGTATGGCCCATGCTTGGGGACTCCCAGAAATTCCTGCCAAATTTGATTAAAAGCATCTCTGAGGAAGCTTTATTTTGATAATGCTTGTAAAGTTATGTTTAGGAACCTTGGCTTTTRGATAGTACTGGGTGACTATAGATAAAATACCTGCTCGGGTAGAACAAATAGATGTTTTCTATTGGGTCAGATGTTCTTTTTCCATATCTGGAGAGAAAATAAGCAATAACTTAGCTAAGTCATGACTTGTGATGTTTTTTTACACTAAGTTTCTTCAGGCTAAGTGTGTAGAAATTGTATAAAAAGCTAAGTGGCAAAAACACATAGATTATGGCTTTCAGGAATATGTGGACAGCTTTTAGAAGCTGTGCTAGTTCAGATAAGCTAAACACTCAAACCTCAGCCACAGCAGAGCTATTTTAAATGGCACATGCATCTGTAGAGGAAGTAGATCTGTTAGAGAACTTCAGAATAATTTAGAAGGGAAGGCTGTAKGCTCAGCATCTACCATCTTGGCTCCATTTTAACATTTCTGAAAAACAGGTTCAGTAGCTCAGCATTGCCTTTGAGGCAGTTGAAAAATCACCCTCTATTTTTAAAGGTTTTGATCATTTTTTACCTGTTAGTATCTGGTCAATGGTCTCCACAACAAAACTTGCATCCTCCATATTGAAGCACATTGGGGGCTTGAATTTCAGCACATTTCTTCCTGGCCCATCTGTACTCAGTAGAATATAATTTTCCTTAAGTCTGGAAAGAGCAATAACAAAGAATTGTTTACCTCTAGATGTAGTTCATAAAAACTTGCAAGCACCAGTCTGCAGGCTGTCACACAGTGCCTTTCTACACTGACTGGTTTCAGTTTTGGCCACTTGGTTGTATTTTAACAACTCCTCCGTGGTAAGGGTAGACTGKGATTGGGTGATTGCCTCTCACGTTGAGGAACTTCATGATTGTCCCATGTACCTTGTTATTAAATACTCTGCTTCTGCTGTGGCTGGAGTCCTTTCTTCTTGGTCCTTGACTAGGTCCACTCCAATGAATAAACCACAACCCCTGTAAAACAAATAAAACCAGTCAGTCTGTGTCAGAGGAAGAACTAAAAGTGAACTAAAAAACWGGAAGTTCTTCTAAGACCAGACCTTTACTCCATGAGAATCACCTGATATTTTGCTACTGCTAGAAAAGGTTTTTCTGTTTGAAGAAATAAAGTAATACAGTACAGACAGAAGTCTGCTCATAAGGGCARTGCAGGGCAGGATGTTAAGCATGTTTTCCATCTAGCTCATCACTTCTTTTCTTGTGCACTTGAACTACGAGTTCAAACAGCAAAGTGAGTTCCTTTAGCAGCTAATAAATTGATCAAACAGTACTGGCCCAGAATGGCAAAGTATATGAGACTCCGGATAAGCTCATGTTTGGTTAATGTACAGTAGGCTGTTCATTTTTGCTGAAAACACAAAATGTAATTAATTTCTCAAAACACTATCTGTTGGATTGAATAGTTTGAAACCAAGCAGAAAGCAGCTAAAAATGTAAATAAGGCACTGATACCTGACATCACCAATGATGGGATGCTTGATTTGCTGTTCCTTGAGTAGCTTCATCAAAAAGTTGCCTACCTCTGTGGCATAAGCCTGAAGGTGTTCCTTCTCAATCACATCTAGCACAGCTARTCCAATGGCACATGAAACGGGGTTCCCACCAAACTGAGCTCAGGAAAGGAACAGAGCCATGAAAAGGGAAGAAAGATGCAATCATGTCATGGAAAGTGTGGCCTCAGTGATACAAGGAGCATATGATCACTTTTATCAGATCCAATAAGTCACAGACTAGAATCATAGATAAAAATGGTAAATAACACTTTCCCTTTAGTTACTACATGGTAAATTAATTAAAACACAGCATGATAATCAAACTGTAATCCTTAGACTCCTTTACAGAGGTGGGCAATGTTTACTTACTGTATTAAAATACTCTACTCCTGTGGCCGTAAATGCTTCTGCAATTTCTTTTGTTGTTGCTACACAAGCAAGTGGGTGCCCATTTCCTATTGGTTTCCCCATGGTGACAATATCAGGTATAAAATCTTCTCCCTGAAGCTGGAATGCCCAAAAGTGCTTGCCAACCCTGCCAAAGCCAACTTGAATTTCATCAGCAATAAATACACCTCCTGCCTTGTGTACATGCCTGCAACATAACAGATTTGATTGTCTCTTAAAAGGAAAAAGAACATAGCAGTTACCGTTAAGAACATGCAGAAAGTGTTGCTTTGCAAACTTTGAGGAAACAAATGTGTGCAGGCCTATATTCTATACCATGTGTAAATAAGCAGATCTTTGTATATGGCAAAGTTCACATTCTAACACAAAGTCTTGGGTAATCTGCTTATCAAGCTCTCTGCTACAGCAGGCAGAGAAATTACCTATTTACCAAATAAGTTAAAAAAGATAATGAATGACCACTTACTCTGCAACCTTCTGAAAATAGCCTGCTGGAGGAATGATTTGACCACCCACACTTGGTAGAGATTCAACAAAAAATGCAGCAATCTGAAACACAGCATATCATGTTTGAACATAACACAGAAAATTGTGGGGCAAGCTCTTTGTCCTTCAATGGTTTTTGCATTATTAATGGGATGTTTATTTTTGACAAGTCCATACCACTTAGCTTAGTAACTGAGTTGCACTGACAGTCAGGCACATTCATTTCTAAGATAAGACAAACATTTAATGAAATAACTTTTTACCTTTCTGCCTCTCTTATGTGCATGCTCAATAATGTTTTTCACTTCATCAGCATAGGCTGTTACTGGATCTTCATGGTCTTCTCTATAAAGTCCTCTGTATGTGTCCGGAATAGGAGCCTGTGCAAAGAAACAGTATCCTATATTCAATATATCATAAAAAAACAACATTAAATTGACAAGTAATTAAAAGGTATAGGCTGAAGTACATACCACGTGGACCCATTCCTTTTGTCCTTCTAGATTTCTGAATTTATATGGGCTTATGTCAATCAAAGATGTCAGATGTCCATGGTAAGCACTTAAAAAACAATTGGCACAACTAAACAGTAATTTTCTTAGTATCAAGAGTTCTTTAGTATTAGCATTGCAAAGAGTCCTTTAGTATTCGCATCCCAAATAATAGAGTAGCCAGGTGCTATCACACTAGGTAGGAAATTCAGTTACTTAAGCTGAGAACAGTTCTGCAGTTTCTAACAAGCTTAGTACTACTTGGATTTCTTTTGGTGTGTCTGAATACAAGGGATGCAGAGGGACAGGACTTGCCATTGGTTTGCCTGCACCAGTGACTGGAATCACAGCAGGGAACCCCTGAACAGAATCACAAGACTGCAGAACAACTGGAAGGGCCTAATTCTGAGTATCCTTCAACAATGGAGCTTCCAATGACTGAGGCATCCTGTTCTAGTATTTGACCCTCTCCATGGCAAAAGCGTTTTCTCCTGTGTCTCATCAAAATTCCTCAGGTTTGAACCTATGTCTGAGGTATTTTTTTGTGTCACCATATACCTTCACACCTGGCTCCCATCTTTTTTACTTCCCATGAGATAGTTGTAGTTGCAGGGAACTTGCTGCTGTGGCTCCCTTCCCATGGTGGCAGGTCACTGCTGGCCTCCTTCCAGTGTGTCAACATCTGTCACTTACTGGAGAGCCCAACCACAGCTCTTGGGGCTGGGCTGGCAAATACGGAAGAGAGGGAAAAATTACTTCCCTCAGCTTCCTGGTTACAGTCTTCCTACTACAGCAGGATTTCAGAAATGCTCTGACCATGGGCCAAAACTGAGCCTTGTACCCCCAGATTGCCAATGTACTCACTGGTCTAAAACAACAACATCCTCATGCTTTGTGTACTGCCGTGCCAATCTCAGGGCAAGATCGTTGGCTTCAGATCTACAACAGAAAAATTAAGTAACTGCTTCATTGTGGTTGTGTTGACTTTTGAAATCTTACCTCCCCTGCACTGCTCTGCAGAGAACAGAGCTCAATGCATGTTATACACAAATTCCTTAGTATTCAGCACTGCCTAGGTAGACTGCTCACCAGAACAGAATCCCTCTTAAAAAGCCAGAGTACAGGAACTATAGAAACAATTTAGCTGGTTTTTTTTTCCTTCCAGGTAAAACTTGTTTAGGAATATGTCTCCCCCCCACCCCTTCCCCAGCAGAAGCAATGCATTGGTACATTTAATTTTGAGAATAATTCCAAAGGTAAATGACATAGTCTGATAAGAAGCTAATACAGTAAGTAAAACTTACATTACTGTTTTGTAGTCCAAGATCTTACAAATAGAATAAAGCCCTTCTCAAATAAATGCACGACTTTAAGTTCCCTCGTAGAGAGCTTGCAAAACCAAACCTATGTTTTTGTCCGTATCTTGTTATCCACACCAGACTGAAAATGGCTGTTGATAAGCAAGTGTGTACTTGTCTATATACTTAGTAAAGCCCCAATACCAATTCTAATGTACCCAACTTACCCTGAATTCAAAAAATAGAAGATGCATAATTTCTCAGGTAGTGTTTTTGAAAGTCTCGCTGCATAATCAACCAGGTTGTCATGAAGGTAACGAGAATTTGTATTTAATAATTGATTCTGTTCATGGGCTGCCTTTACTATGTCAGGGTGACAGTGCCCAACTGCAAGGGAATGTAGAGAGTGGTTTGAGAGTTCTTCATATTGCCCGTGCTATTCATTCACATACCAGCTTAACACTTACACTTCTCTAATAGTACATTGATATTATCAGAGATATTATCAGTGGGGCCTTAAAGGTACATTTTGCAAAAACCTTTTTTTGCTCATCACAAAGTTTGAAGTTGCCTCCTACTGTACTTAAAGGTTTTTAGTTAGTACTGGAAAYTGATATGCTAAAACAAATAGTGTCTGATTTGATGCTTGTATTTAGGCATTTACATAGTTTAGGAGTTAGGGAAGGTGTGGGGAAGCTTTACCATCAAAGAATTACTAGCCCTGGTAGAGGTTAGGTTAGAGAGATTTCAAATCCTTTAAGAAAGCAGCAGTTACTTAATCATATACAATTAAGGCACCACACTGAGCAGTGGTTCTGTGACTGTACACTTAGCAGTAACGTTTACAAAAAAAACAAAATGTCATCTGTTTTACAGTGAGGTGCTTTATTTGAGTTTCCATGGGAAAAAAAATGTGTTTCAGGCACATTTCTAGGAAGAGAGAACACGAAGCAAGTCTGGAAAGAACATTCACAAATTCAAATGAACTGTAATTCCCTTAACTACAGGCTCAAGAAAGTTTCCTTCCACTTTTCCAATTAAACACCCCCTCCCCCAGCACAGTGCAATGGTAGTAAAAGTAGTGATTGTTCTTTGTTCTGCTTAGAAAAACAGCATCAAATAATATCCAATACCATGACTTTAGCTTACCGTGAGCGACATTGTTTATGCAGTCAAGGTATCGCCTCCCATTCTCATCATACATGTACTGGCCTTTTGCCTTCACGATCTTCACTGGGTCATTRGAAAAAAACAGCTTGCAAGAAGAGCTATGACAAGCATCAGAAAGCAAAATCTTAGTGAGTTTGTTTTATCCTGCTGGTATATTTTTAGTTCAGTCAGTTAATCAAGAGAGACATTTCCCCTGTTTACTGGCAGTCATCCTGCTTTTGGCCCCTTGTTAGATTTACAGGGAAAAAAAACCACTCCATACCTGACAATCCTCTAGGATCTAGCCACAGCACTATGACTTACCTTTATGGTTTCATCCCATCTTAACTGCAATTCCTTACTGTCTATGCTGTCTGCCCTTTTTGTTGTTGGRTGTCTCTTACCTTGTGATTGTTCTTGCTATGTTCTTTTTATTGTTCTTACTATGTTCTTGCTGTTCTTGCCAACGTTCTGATTTTCCAGRTAGTTTGGTGCAGGCGATTGTTACAGGTTCACTAACTGTAGCTAAAACACCGAGTGATTTTATAAGGCTGGGTTTACTTAAAGTACATTTGTTTCRCTTTTTAAATTAATTGCCAAACAAGTAAAACTGAAACACATCTGCCTAAGTTGGAATTGCAGAGATTTGACTCTGAAGGGCAATACCAAGCTTCCATACTTCATTTAGTAAAAGATRGCTTATACAGAAACAATTATACTATAAATACAAAGCCATTGTCAGATGGATGACCGAGGACAATGTTAAAGTGAGAAAAGTGCTTCATTATCCCTCCCCACTAGGAATCTTGATGCTTTCTGTGTGAGCTGGYRAAACAGTTGGGGGCTGTTRTAAGCTTCTCCTAACTGTACAAAAGATGCTGAGAAAGTGCCTACAGAGGTTGGGTCTTTGTTGCCAGGGGCAGGGCAAACCAGTTACAAAAAGATTTAATACCCAGAGCGCTATTTTTTAGGTGTGTGTAACTGGCATAATTCTAATTTCAGCATTTACTTTCAACTCAACTTCTGTATTTATAAAACATGTAAGAGAAGCCTTGGATTTGAATATATATGATAGGAAAGTATTCCCACAGTTAAAAAAAAAGAGCTGTGCTGCCATTCTTGGTGATGGTCTAAAGAAATAAGCTTTTTTAAGGTTGGTTGGAACACCACCAGTAATAGGAAGTTTAGAACCGAGTCGTGAACTTTGTTCAGTCACAGTGGGCAGACATACGTTTTTAATTCCATCCCGGTTTCGGTATAGTTCCCTGAAAGACGGGCTGTAGTTGGTGAGCCCGATGCTCGTCTGGCTCAGCACGGCCTCCAGCCCAGCGGTGCCTCCGCTGGGCTACAGGAAACGCTTTCTAAGCAGTTTAGACTAAACAGGCGCGCTCGGTATCATATGGCTTTTACAGTGCAGTTTCGTAATCCCCCTCCTTAAGARAGGCTAATTACTGTTAATTACAGCGGTGCACCCGGGCGCTCGGGCGCTGTCGCTGCTTCCAGCCCGGGCGCGATGGCGCTGCCGCCGGGCGGGGGCCCGCGGGCTCGGCCCCGTTCCGGCCACGTCAGGCGGCAGCGCCCGCCCGGGCTGGAACCAGCTCCGGTTCCAGCTCCAGCTCCGTCTCCGGCTCCGCGCCCGCCGTCCCGCAGCACTCACCCGATGAGCTGCCGCCGCAGGGCCAGGGTCTGCTGCCGGGAGCGCGGCTGTGCCGCCCGCATGGCCGCCCGCGGGCCCGGAGCGCCCGGCAGCGCGGCCAGGGGAGCGGAGCGAGGGAGGGGAGGAGGGGAGGAGGGAGGGAGCGGCCGCCTCCCGCGGGGGCCGGGCTGCGAGGGGAGGGGAGAGGAGGGGCGGCAGCGGCAGCCAGGGACACGGGCTTTGCCCGCCCGGAGCGCCGAGCGCAGCCCCCGCAGCACGGCTCCGGCTCTGTGTGCGCCGGGAGCAGGGCCGGAGCTCACCCAGGGCCCCGGCGGGGCTGCTGGCAACTCACCCTTAAACCAAACACCCCGGGGGTTACACCGCTCGGGTGCATCCTGCCGCACACCCCACTCGGAGGGAGAAACAGGCTCTTCAGGGTCATTCGTACAGCTGTAGCACTCTCCTTTTGAAACACAAATCAAGGGAGCTTCTTTTACAGTTGAAAATTATTTGAGGGGGTAGCCCAGGTGGCAGAACTGAAAGAATTCTTCAACATGTATTTCATTGTTTTAGCGGAAGYAAACYCTGCCTTCTGTWTGTTTTAGCCCTGTATTTGGTTGGYGGCAGATAGGTGGACCTGACTGACTCCTTCAGAGCCAATTCTAGGACAGGTAATAGTTAGGATTAAAAGAGGAAATGCTGGCAATCAGATTAGAATGATCTTTCTTCCATTCCTGTTTGACTGGAACGACCTAAAGAAAAATAGGAAGATAAAGAACCAGAAAGGAGTTCTGCAATGGATTGAGTTCTGCTACTGCAGGTGTTGTATCCCATAACCAAGTTTATCAACTTGTCCAGCTTGATTCTAGAAAATGCCACATTTTTTCCCCTCCAAATTCACATTATTTTGGTTTAAATTGACAAACAGCTCTTAAAACTAGAAAAACAGAATAGATCCTTTTAAAACTACTCTTGGCAGATTTTGCTGACTAGATATAGCCACCAATAATTATCTGCATTTGCAATTACTGGATAAACACAGGAGCAGTTTAAATTTTGTGCAATATGGAGAATGAAAATTCAAATTGCCATGCACTTAAAGTTAGATAAGTCTAACTCCGTTGTCTAATAATCAGGTTTTAAGTAACAAAAGACTGCAGAAAAAGTTAATAATGGCTGTTAATCTTTATTTGAACTCTTGTCTGGTTAAGATATTTACTAGCTATTTATAATAACAACYTGAACATTTACAATTTAGGAAGTTTACTCTTGGGTACAAATGCAGAGTTCATTATACATATTCACACAGTTGTAAAAGTAATCTGTACAGAGAGACCATTTAAAAAAAATCTAATCTTTGCTTTTATTAAAAAAAGCACAAGAAAAATATTATTTTTAGGYCTCAAGGTGTATTGTCCATTACAGCTTTAAACTAGCAATACACGATGCAGTACTATCAATACCATTTTAACATGTTAAAACAATGGATAAGAAATACTGTTATTAATGCCTTCATTTTTAAAGTCGTTGTTCCCCAAAAAAGAGTAAATAGAATACTTTTCACGGCACATACATGATCAAAAATCACAAAAAAGTTTGCAAATAGAGATGTTAARTACATTTTCTGTCATTTTAATATCGATATATTTCTTTTCAAAGGTGATACATTTGACAGAGATTTAACCAACTTTGTATAAAATACCATGTAAATACATTCAGAACAAAACTAATTTTTGGCAAACTGCAAACACACAAACAGCCCTTTCTCCTCTGAACAGCCTCCCTGGAGTGATGCAACCACTCACATAAATAAGGGACACTTGCATAACGTGGTAGAGGATTAAGCTCTCGGCRTAATTTCAAAACAAATATGGATAGATAAGGCACACGTTGTGTGTATTTTTCTAAACTGTATACAAATAACTAAGGTTTTCAGTTAGATTTTAAATATCCACAGGTACAGTTTCTCAAATGCTAATGTACAAGCCAGTTTTGTAACATTTCTGTATCCAAAATAATGTCATACAACAAAGCAAGGAGCTTTCAGTATTGACTGTGTGGTATTTGTGCTGAACTTTCTTCATAATTAATATTTTTTTAAGATAGCAGAAAAACYCAAATTGAAACACAAAAAGCTGTTATGAAATTGTCTGTAAAACTGCACTCAGTGAAACAAACCAGCAAACACAACAGGCTCCAGCTCATTTGCACTGATGGCAACTTAACCACCTTTCCTGCTAAATTCACAAATTCGGTGGATATCATGGGGTGCTTTYGCTTTGCAAAACCAGATCCTAATTTTTAATGTAATTGCAGAAATGTTTGATAAGCACTCACACTTAAAAAATAAATGAAAGTGAAATGAATGTTTCAAATACAGTGTTTAACAGCAGAATAAAAAGCAGCAGATGGTATCGGTATCATTTACAGATACTTGGGTCACTTCCATTTTAAGTTTCTGTTCRTTAGTATCTATGTTACATAAGAAACCACACAAGTGAGCTGACACAGGAGTGAGCTGATTGTTCCATGAAACCACACAATTATGAGGCAACCTCTACTAGAACWTAACAAACAGGCATTAATTGTTTGTCCTAAGACATAGGAAAACCACAAATAATACAACTGTATTGCTTACTACACTCTCTTGTCAATAATTCAACTTCTTATACATGGCAAACTTGTGTTTCCCAGCTTTCCTGTGGTTTCTCCCCAGCTCTACAATAGTATATAATAATTTAATCTATCAGGTCCTTTGTCCATTCATTTTTAAGTGAGAGATTTTCAGCACTTTAGCTGCAAGTTACACAACATCCCTTGTGTTGTGCCATCAAATGGGACACAAGCATGTGGCAAAGTTGCAGYAGTTCACCTGGGGATGTGAAAATACTAAAAGTAATTTTTGGCTTACAAATATAAATTATCACCAGGGAAAATAAAGTTTAGAAAATTAATTTTTTTACTCACTGTTTTTCTTCACTCTGCAATAGATTTCCTGAAGTGGAGCTRTAGAGTATTTCAAACTAAATTAATTATGGCCAGGTCCAGTGCAGTGCCAGGGACACAGAAGTCAGGTGACTCTAGTAAATGACACTGAGACTGGACTAACTAGAGTGACCAGATGTTTCTATCTGCCCCCTCCTTTTTGTTAAAAAAAAATTAAAACACTATTGCAAAAGAGTCAAGAAACAGGCTTACATAAATGCTGTCCTGTAAAGTTGCCAGGTTCAGTGTGTGCCACAGTGATTGCCTTGGCAAGCTAGTGTCACAGGCCTCTTGAAATTATCCATGTATTTCACTTCTCACTTGAAAATCTTCTGGTTAAACCCTGCAAGGCTGGCTGTGCTGCTCAGTATGTCAGCCTGTCCTGAACAGGTGAAATTCAGGAGTTTCATAATAAACAAAGCAATACTGAAGTTCTTTGCRCCTGTGGAAACTGCTGAGGACACTCCTTCCTATGCTAGAGCACATTGGAACCAAACTCATTGTTCTGAATTCAGGCACATACCTGCAGTATTTGCACAGGATGAGTGGTTTGAAGACATTTGAATTTTCACATTTTTATCATTTGTTGTTACTAATATTTTTGCATATCTAAAAGATCAGTCTGTTGTCTATAATGGAAATAATTCAGAGYTTCCATGCTCAAAATTTTAAAAATAGAAGTGTGTCAGGAAACCTACTTCAGGTAGACTGTATTTGTATAATGCTTAAAATTATCTGGGCAACAGTGGCACTAAAAAATGTGAGAGTATAATGGTATTTCTTGAGAGAGCTACCAGATTTGGGGGAAAAAAGAATTTTCTATCCATGTACTCCTGGTTTTACAAGTATCTGTTGAGACCAGAGTTACATGAAGTCATGCCCATCTGTAAGAGTGCTGTCAATTAAGGCACACTGTCACAGCAGAAAATTTACATAAAATTTGCTTCTGTTTTTAAAAACGTCTCCTCTAGAGGGCAGCATTGAACCAGCAGTCACTGACCAAGAACGCCTTTTTGGTGCACATTACATTGACAGGTCAGGGGAGTTATTTACCACTATGGTAAAGCTGAGATATTGCTGGCTTAATACTTTAATTAGTTTCTATGAGTTCTTGCATTCTTGACCAAGAGCCTGTGTGCAAAACCATGTCAAAACCAACAGAACCATCCGTATAAAACCTTACCCTGGGTAGTGGTTCCTATAACAGTCTCAAAACCACAGATGTCATTCTCCATGGATTACTTTGCACCATTGCATAGGATGTCTTAAACTGCTGGAAMTTCCCATGTGTTTTGCTGGTTTGCTTAAGGATCTCAGATGCTGAATTTATGAAATTATAGAAGACAAAAGTTCATCTAAATATTTTATCTATTGGTTTCCTAAAAAGAAAACACATCACAAAGTCGCTTAACATTAAAGGAAACATTCTTATTTTTAAATACACAGGAGAAAAATCCATACAGAAATAAATTCATCACCATAATATATACAGGAAGTGTCAGAAGCAGTGCATACAGGAGAGGCAACTCCCCATGGGAATAAAACAAAGCAATGTCTTGATTATTATTTTTTAAACTAAAAGATTGATGAATTGACACTTGGAAACAGTTTCAGTTTGGGGTCAGATCAGGATTTCTCTGCCACCTCTTTCATAATCCAAAGAAATATTCCTGAGCTCACTGGCCAAGCCACGATTGAGCTGCAAACCCTTAATTAATCTCATTTGTCCCCATCAGAACAGGCCAAATCATCAGGCTCATRCTCTGGCAAAGATCCTCTCAAGCTGCCAGCACTGTGAAGTTACATACATGGGTTTTTCTTTGCTTTATTTCCTTCTACCCCAAACCCATCCTCCCCAGAAGCTTTAGGGACTGCTCCCCGTACTCACATTTGGGTGCAGCATCACCACTCCTGGAGCACCAGCACTGACACAATCAGAGCCAGCAGCAGCTCCAGCCTCAGTCACAGAATGCTCTTGCTGTGTCTCATGGCAAGGCAGCCCTGCCTGCAGAGCTTTGTGGCTGAAAAACCTTTCAGGTGTCTCAAGTGAGTTCCTGTGCCCTTATGATTCAGTTTGGGAACTTTGTTAGAGAGAGGATGTTGGTAATGACTGGAAAGATGTCCATTAGCTACAATTTAAAATGGAACAAGCCATAAAGAAAGCTGCATTTTCTCTGCTCCTTGGCAGCAGCAGGCATGGTTAGCTTAACCTAATGAAAATCACCCTCCTTTCACAGACTGTTAAATTAGAGAAAGGAATTTTGCTTTGTAAAGTAAAAAATACATTTATCTGAATACCAGGTTCCTCCAATATCAGTAACTTTAGTGTGTTACCAGAATGTCTATTGATAAATCCATGAAATTATACCAAATATTTTAGTGATGAAGAAAAATCAGTGGCTCAACCTCAGACTGACCCACATTTCACAAACATTAGCAGCCTCTCTGTCARTCATCTTCATTGCTGATGACATATAGTGGTAACATTCAGCTACATTTTGGAATTGCTTTAAAGCAGTCTCAGATTCTTTCAAACCAGAGGGAAAAACAAAAGGAGAGAGGTTTCATGGAGAAAAAATGCCCTAAGCTTTGTGAAAGGCTGAGGTCGTGACTGAGTTTTGAGCAAGACTTGCCAGTACTACCTAAAACTTAAAATTTATCTTCATGAGCTATTTGCAAAGTCAAAGTATTTAGAAAAACCCACATAAACATTTTCATATGGAAGAAAATAATCAATTGTTCTGGCATGAATTTGCAGAGCAAAACACATCTTTTTAACTCATTGCAGTAAGATCATGACTGCTCCATGTTTAACTACTCTTCTAAATATATATTTGTGTGAAAGGCACATGGAAGTCCAAACAGATTTCATCTTAGTTTCTGTGTAATCAGTACAGAACTCAACAGTTCCTCTAATAAAGTGTTGATCTGAATAATACGATTGATAACCACAAAATGACAGGGGTTGAAAGGGTCTTTAAAGATAATCTAGGTCCAACTCCCTGCCATGGGCAGGGAACCAGGTACACTCTGTTCAGAGTAGAAAGGCCAAATGCTCCAATCTCAGCTGAGGACCCAGATGGACTTGAGATGCCAGTGACATCCCTGCTGGGAGATCCATTGCCGCTCTGTTCTGGGCTTCTGCTCTCCAGGGGTCTCTGTTCCTCTGATGACAAGGGGCTGGTAGAGGAGCTGTGCCACCCACAGGCCTTGGAGACCTGCTGGTCAGCTCCTCGTAGCCAAAGTGMCAACAGCATGCAGCAGGATCCATACCTGCCAGCATTCCTGATGGGAAAGGCAGCAGGAGGAGTCTGGGGAAGCTGCTACACATGGGCAGTAGTGAGTCCAAGGTCCTGAACATTCCTGAACAGCTACAGGTGCACAGATGATCTTTGTACATGCAGAGCCAACCAAGGCCTTTCCTGGCAGTTTCTAAAGAGGGTCACAAAAAGGTTTGGTAGCTGAGCTGTAGCACTGATGGGGGTGGATGCAGCTGCATTCCTGTGCTGGGATGGTCATTCCAGCCTCCCCCCATTGCAAACAAATGTCCTGGGTGCTGTGACAGCAGAGGCTCTGTGCTGGGAGGGGGACGGTGGCCTTGCAGAGCACTGAGAGGGAAAAGCACTATTCTGGTATTCTGTATCAATGTTTTGCAGGCCTGGCAGTGGTCACAGTTGATGCCTACAAGCACTGGATATTCCACAAGTTGAAGACGGAATACTGACTTGTTTACCTGAAGATAATAGGACTTCGGGGTATTTCCTCAGAGAAAATATAAATTTTAATATAATTTCTTAAGCTTTGGAGGTTAGCTTGTCTTGTAGCTTCAGTGATATCAAACTTCTTCAAGTAGGAGCTAGATAGAAAGCTGTTTAGTTTTTGCCAGCRTATGTAAAACAAGACTTTTCTATCTGCATTGTAGATTGTTTGTGGACACTTCCAGATTCTTGTGCTTTCTGCAGTCATTCTGGGGACTGAACTCTCATTGATATKGAAAGAGGTTCCATGAACAGGACATGTGCAGGAATTTGAGTATAGAAGCCCACAGCGTGATTTGGAGTAGTGAACTGTTTTTAGTTTGGAGATGACTGGGGGAGAGGGGAAGAGCAACTGTACATTAAGGGAACAATTACAGATCTTCCTGGTGACATCAATGAGAGATTTGCCTTCAACCTTTCACAGAAATTTTTTTTAGCTTTAATTTGGGATATTAAAGGGGTTTTTCAAAAGCACTAAAGGCCAGTGGAAGCTTGTTAGCTGCTCCTTATGCCTTTAAAAACCCCTATACCAAAAGTGATAGCTGAGAACATGAAATGGAAGTAAATAAAATGCATTTTCATTGCTGTTTTGAGTTATATAATTATTGTTTCTTGATTTGTTAGTTGATCTGAATTTACATGGATTTAATCTATGTGGTGACCAAGGAAACGGTGAGTAACTGGTAGAGATGCCAAGTACAACCACAAAGCCAGAGCTGTGTAGATGTAGCCCCTGAGCAGCCCAGGACAGGTAACAAATTACCTGCCCCGAGGCTGTGTCACCTCTCCTGAGCTTGTTGGCCATTCCAGCMTTGACCAGCACAGAGCACAGGCTGCCCCTGACCTCAGGGATAAGCTCAAGGACACCCAGAACCTGATCACAGATGAGAGCTCACAGACCCCAGACATCACCCTACCTGTGTAGAGCACAAAGCACATTCCCACTTCAGAATATCGGAGCAGGACCTTCAGCACTAGAGCAGCTTGTACAGCTTTTTGCTGCACACTCACATCCCTCTCTCAAGCCCTTTCTGGCAGTAGCTGCAGTAAGAGTGGCAGTGAAGCAAGAACCTTAACAGAGTTTTGGATCTACTCAGTGCACCAAAAATGCCTCCCCTTCTGTATTCTCTAAGATGAAGGCCACAAAGAGCCTTGATCACCATGTTTGATATGGTCAGGCTCTTAATTTCACCCAAGACTCCTACACAGAACCCTGTAACTGGGGTTGAGCTAAATATTTCCTCCAGAAATGATCTGTTAAATCGAAAAGGCATTAAAGTTATAGTAATTATATCTGGTTAGGATTAACCAGTTTTACCAATAAAAATCCACAGCTTACTTGAGTTAGTGTAGCTTCAACTTCTACCCATTGGATGAATATTTGTATAGCTTTCTCTGTTAAGTTAAAAAACTTGTTAACACAAAGTATCTTCTCTCCCTGTAACGGAATCTGGTTGCCTCTTGATCTTCATTGTAAGCTGAACAGACTCAGCTGTAAGGCATCTTCTTCTTCTTGGAAATTTTTTAATGGCTCTCTGCTGCACAATTGCTASTTTTTCAACATCATAAAAAATGTGAACTGTGGAATAGTTTGCAATTTTTAATTGATCCCACAGTGGCATATGCAGATACCAAAATAATAATGCTTTTATTCATTACCGTGCTCTGCATGGGATATGCCTGAGAGGAGATAATTTAGAAAGAAAAAGAAAAAAAGAAAAGGAAAACAAGAGTGTGCAGGGTTAGTTTACAGTTAAAACCATGTAAACTAAGAAGAAATAAAAAGCAAATGAACCCCACAAACCAATACARTTAAATACTCCAAGCTCCCAATTTCTGGGAACCCCAACAGCAACATTATGTGCTCTGTTGTTTAAGAAGGGACTTAAGCAGAGCCTTCCCTGTCCTGCAACTCCCTGCACTAAAAGTATTGCCAGGTTTTTTGTGTTTTGAAATTCTACAGCGGAAGCTTCCTGGGGAGTTTGTATTCCACAGTAACAAAGTGCACGTCTTCAGGCACAGACCCCAGAGGTGCTTCCTCCCGAGGAAAAATGTTTCTCTTGATTGTAGAGGCAATAACTGCAGGCAGTCAAGTTTATTCTGTTTAGCCCCAGAGTTGCTGTTTCCAACACACCAAGAGCAGGTAGCGACGGATGGAGCTTGGCTTTGTTTCCTCTGCAGGTTACAAGTCCTTCTCCTGCTTGACCAGACATTAAGACCGCAGCTTCTTTCATTTTTAGGGCTGCATCCTTCTTTTCTTCGTTTTCAGCCAGGTTTTTTCACCCTTTTAATGTGCATGTGCAATGCAAATACGGAGTTGAGAGCCAAATTAGGACAGGGATTTTGCCCTCCTTCATGCAGTAAGGCACACGAGGCTGGCTCAGTACTGTTAGTTCACACTGCAGCAYGAGCAGTGAACACTGTCCATCACCAGCTACTGTCATCGGTACCTTGATCAAATCCTGTTGTTACCATGCACATTTTATGGGTTTGGGAGCTTTAYATTATTTTCCAAGTCCATAAATGTCAGAATCCAGTATAAAAAAAGGTCAATATATTACTGTCAAAAGTTTTTTTTTTCCTTTTTTTATACAAAAATTAAAAAGATCAAAATATATCACATTATTTACATATTGTGCTTCATGCTTAGAGATCACTGAAAAAGAACACACAGACAAACATTTKAATCAGAGAAATGCTCCATTCATTATACTTACTAACCTTATTGTTAATATWTACAAGGATTGGCATTCAGATTTCTTTTAATATTAGTGATTCATGCAAACAAATTACACAGAATTAAAACCTTTGATGTACTAAGGAAGTGCTCATATTCTAACAGGGTTTGCAGTCAGTGACATGCTGTTAACTCCAATGTGTCCACATGCCACGTGTTTACAGCTGGGTCAGTAATTCCACTCAGCTTCAGTGTCATCATACCCTTTTTGGAGAATGAGGATTCTCCTACCAGTCTGGATCAAATCCTCACCTTACAGGGGAGTGTGTCTCTCCTCATTCTCCCAGGCTGCCAACAGCAATTCCACCCCCTGGCTGCTCTGGTGCATGAGATGCTACAAATTACCTGAGCACCTGCACCCAGGCAACTGATTCTAGTACTGAAGCAGTGCAGTGGTTGTGGGTTATAATTACAATGGCAGAAGTCTTTTTTTGGAAAATAAATGTTTAGAACGCTGCAACAAAGAGACAACCCACTGTTAACTTCTCAGCTGGATGGTATGGGCCGAGTAAGTCACACAAGCATGGGGTGCAGCCTTTCCGTGGGTGGTTCCTAAGCTGCCTTGGCCATAATAAAAGCTGAGCAAGCCTGTAAAAAGGCATTCTGCTGTCAGTGCTACAATGACAGCATAAAATTTTTCATGCTTAGCAAATTTTTGGTGTTCTCAGCACCAGTCTGGAGCTGGGAGGAACAAGACCTGAAGCTGCTGGAATCCTGCTCTCCCATAATAATGTCATGTCTGCCAGGCCTAGAGTTGTTGCTTAAAGCCTGTGCAGCAGTGCAAACAATCACCGTGCAGGGAGCAAAATTACTCAGGACCTGTGCAAGGATATGCAATTATTAATGGTACTGTACCTTATGCCAACATCCTGCTACTGGCAGTCCGTCTGGTCCCTGCAAAATTGAAATTACAGATTCAGGTTTCCTGACAGTGTCAGACCCAAAAACCTGAAGCTCACTCATCACGATGGAAGATTTAGCAGCACTGTTAATTACCATGCAAAACCCATTTACTGTATATGTGCAAAAATGAATATGCAGGCAATGTAATCCATGTGTCATGCACAACATAAAATTAAATACACCTCAGGGTAAAAAAAAAAAAAAAACAACCAAGAAAAAACAGAAATCTACACTTTTTTTTTCCTTTAAACAAAGAAGAAGATGTGTACAAATAAAAAGATTTGAAACCACTCAGTTGAAATCACCACAGTTCATTAACTTCATAATCTGCTTTATAAGGTAATGTTTTTTGCAATCAGACATATATATATGGAAAGCATGATGTGGAAATGTATTTTTTGTTAAAATGTGCTTTTCTGTTCGGGGGAGGTGGTGTAGGTATTTTTTTTCTTAGATGGTATCCTAATTGTGTTACATTTGATCCTGCAGTACTAAGTTTCTTTAAGAAATCCTGAGTTGCTGAACTGAGAATAGGATGAGTTATGTACTATGCAAAGGGAGTGAAAATATTTGTCTTGTTCTGCTGGAGATACAAGAAACATACAGAAATCAGAAAGCCAGAAGAGCTCTCACTGACCAGGAGGAGAACACTGGGAAGAAAGGAGCCCCTTAGAAGAGGAACGAGCTGTATATGACCAGCTCTCTCAAGAAACTTTACAAGAAATAGCTGACTTCAGCTGCCTTTTCTGATGCTGGATTTTTTTAAGGCTCTTGGATCTCCGATTACATGAATTTCTGCATGTAGAGCCACAGAGAGCACACAGGCACTGACCCTTCCCTCAGAGCCACCTCCAGACTCACTAGAGGTGGGAAGATGTGTACACAGCAGAGAGAACTGCTAGTGCAAATACAGGTCAAAATGCAATTTTACATTTTTTACTGTAAATGTCAGTCATCACATTTTTTGTATTCTGTATTGATTTTATATGTAAAATAGCCTATGCCCAATAAAACAGATGCAGTGAAGTAAGGTAACACTCTCCAGCTACTCACAGYGTAAGAAGTCATGTTTTCTTGTAACCTTAGTTAGAAAACACACATTTTTCTGCAGACACAGTCAATATTTTGGTCTGTAACTATTACAAAAAAAGGTAAAACTTGYACATTTGCCAGAGTTGTCCAGGGTTGATGGGTACAGGGGCCAAGGTRCAGAGCTGTTGTTTGATCTAAAACTTCCTGACCTGCTGTTACAGTGCACCCTAACACTGATGGTCACAGGGTTATTTCTGCCCTGGGGTTTTTCTCCTTGTGCACTCAGAATACTTTTTTTGGCTATCATAAAACTCCACCCCTTTCTACCATGTTTCACCTGAGTGATTCCAAAATGACTCCTTGTGGTCTGTGTGTGAGGCTTGTCCTGATGCCCCTGGACTGAAAGCCCAGCAAGCCTCTTCTGCACCCTGGGCTGCAGAACAAAGTCAATGTTCCAACCAACCTGCTACTAACCAGGAAGATGCATGAGTGCTTTACCAACTGGTCATGTTGTAGTTTATTGSAGAAATCACCTACTGCAGTTTACAATGCCTTCAGCAGAGTTGGGCCCTGTGTTTTCTGTATAGTTAAGATGGGAGATGCTTGGAAAATAGAACATCTCTGGAGAGTAAATAYGAAGAGTTGGAGCAGGCCTGCTGTTAGGAATTGGTTTCTTGGACACATCTGAAAGTAATTTAACTTTTTGAAAGAGAAACAGCTTACTGCCCTTTTGTTTCTCCGAGGACAACTGCAAATCATCTAACACGCAGCATTTTCTATGGTTAAAAAAATGGAAATRAAACAATGACCTCTCTTAGCTAGTCATGCAGAGCCCTTTTGGGGAGCAGAGCATGAACCTTCCTGCATAACCACTGAGCCCAACCTGAGCTTTGCAGAGCTCTGTGCTGGCACAGCAAAACCCTTTGATGCCCAGAGTGCCAGTGKCCCTGCTCTGCAGGACTGGCTGCTCATTTGGGGAAAGCTTCTCAAATCCCATCTGGGAATGGGACTCCGAGGGCTGCAGCAGCACAGGCACCAGGGCAACCAAACTGAGCCATAGGTACTGAGAAATCATAACTAATTTTGAACATCTGTCAACATGAAGGGACTGGCATCCCCTGCGTGATCTCCCATGCTTTACACTCCTTATCTGAAATCTTTTTAACCGGGAAGAAGGCACAACACATTGGCATCCTTCCCTGAGTGCCAGAGTGAAACATCTTGTTCCAGCTCTGCTGCCTTGTGTCCTTCCTCTCCCTGCAGGGGTTTGCTCCTCGGGACAGGGCTTGGCCACAGCAGGAACACACACAAACCATGCAAGAAAGACAGAGCAGATACTGTACCAAAGGGCAGGGCACGCTCACCCCATCCAGGCCTGGCAAACCTGGGTCCCTTTTGCTGCCTGCAATGCTATGATCTCCCTGTTTGGAAAAATAACTGCTTGATGAGAATGATAAAGGACACAGGAGTTACACAGACAGACATCCATGATTCAGCAGTGGAGGAGGAGGACAGGTCTGGAGCTTCACAGCTCCTTTTGTGATGACCCAGCAAGTCAGCAGAGTGGTTTTATGGTAGGGAATTCACAGACATGCAGAGTCTGTCATCTGGGAAAGATCTTCTGTACACAAACCAGAGATTCAACATTTGTAAAAGCACAGTTAAAGAGATAAGGGGTAAATCACCCAACATGTCAAAAGAGGAAAAAATTAATTGTAGTTCACATTAAAACTCCAGGCAAAATAAAGCAAAATGGCTAAAGGAGCTTTTTGCTGATACAGTGGAGTTACACRATAGCTTTGGCTGCCAAAGCTGTGCTCTAGAGGGTGACGAAAAGTCACACGTTTAGAGAAGAAATGGGCTTTTGAATCATGTTGGAGCAAGCACCTGCACTATTATGAGCCTCTGAAACAAGGTCTAAACAGTTATATTTAAGTAGTTTCAGTTCAATATTTGATACTTTTCAACCTGTAGCTTGAAAGCTCTTCAGAGAAAGGATCTCTCTAGTTTTGGTTATTGTATGAAAAGTAAAAAGGAGGTGAATTTTACCAGGTCAAATAACTTCTTATAAACCTGCCCAGATTTTTCTTTCTGGGTTCTCTCTAATGAATGAGGTATTGTGGAAATGGACTTGGGAGATGCAGCATCCCCAGGCCCAAATGCCCCGAAGGTTTCCTGGAAAGCTGGTTAGGGTAGTGCTGCAGGGCCTGGGATGGGTCTGASAAGGGAGAAGGGAGCTCTGAGCTAYAGGCAGAGAAAACAGAGGAGGTCTCTTCTCCCAGAGACATTTCCTGGCAGCCTGGGGAGCTCCAGCTCATCCATCACTTATCTTTGGCAGAACTGAGATGCTATCAGCTCCAGCACGCTTCCCCAGGCTCATCCCTCGCTCGGTTTGCAGGGATGAAGGAATGGAACTGAACTTGTTTTCAGAACACCTCCCACCCACTGCACCCAGTTACTCCCTGATTTCAAACCCACTCAGAGGCCAGGCCGACAGCTTCACACTGTCTGCTGAAGAGCTCTACCGAGGTCCATTCCTGACTACAATAARAAGGTCTTTACACAAAGATGCTTTRKTTTTACTGCTGTGGCTTGCTCCCATCTGGCCAGTGAGGAGCCCTTACAGTGTGCAGTGAACTTCCAGCAGTGCAGATAAACCAGTATGAAAAGTGAGAAAACAATAACCATCTGCTCTGATTTACTGCAAATAGAGAGCTCCCAAATCCTCCCTGCTTTTCCCTGGCTACAGAGCTTGGGCTCCTTTTCAGCCCCAGCAATCCGTGCTCAGGATGAGTGAAATGAAAGACGTACCACGGGACAAGGCTGATCCAGTCCRGGAGGGCCTGGTTCCCCCTTCTGTCCTTTGGCCCCTTTTCTCCCTGGTATTCCTCGTTCACCCTGTCAGCACAACAGGAAAACATCAGGAATGAGGGGAAGAAACAACTTTGCTTTATGCCTCAGCACTTGCAGAATCCCAGTCCTCACCCACATTAGGGACATTTGCACCAGTGTGACCTCAGCTGAGTAACAAAATCACTGAAAATGTCAGTTAAAGCTGGGGTGGAAATACTGTGACAGATAATTTTATAATGGATTGACTGAATGAGCAGTTTCTGCTGGAATCCAGGTTGGTGTCTGACAGCATGTGGAGCCCTGTGCTCAGCTGGGYTCCTGGCTCCAGCTGGGCATCCCTTTGTTTAAGGATCCCTCTAACAAAACCTTTGACTTGGATCCATTTCCAAGGTCTATAAACCAGGCAATTCTTTGCAACCTGGAGCTGTCAGGCTGCTCCATTTCCCCACAATGGCTGTGTTGGAATGAGGGCAGGCTTGTGAAAAGCCCTTCCAAGTGGGTGGGAATGAATTGCCTGTCCTGCCCTGCTCTGGGACTGTGCAAGTCCTTGGGCTACAGAGAAGCATTTCAGCACTGCCTGCCAAAAAGAGCAGCCTGTCCTGCCCCCATGGGCATAAATACAGCCATAACCCACTCACCTTCTCGCCTCTTTCACTTCTCTCTCCTTTCTCTCCTCTGAGACCCGGGAAACCCTGTCACCACAATTTTTAGGTGGGAAGAAGGGGAAAAAAAAGTTTTGTAAGTTTGTCATGTCAACGTCCTGACATCTCAGTTCAACATGAGCCAGTTCCAGCCATCAGCCCACCCTGCCATGGTGAAGAATGACAGTTTCTTCCTCTTGATTTGGTATGTCAGCAATTTCTTGGGAAAACTGGAGTGCTTCACCACACCCCACTAATGTTACAGTTATTAGAAATTTTCATTTCACTGAATCCAATATTCTCAATTGGAAAGGGAAGCCCTGGCAGCACTTTTAGGTGAGCAGTTCCACTGTACAGTGGAAGCAGCCCAGCAACTGGCCTAAATCCAGCTCTTTCCTACAGCAATCATTCCATGGGCATTGTGTTTAAGGGAGAGCAGTCTAYACAGTGTTAGCTACATATTTTCCCAACGATCTCAAGTTACATGTGTGTTATTTGTGTTTCTTCATGAATAATTAATAGTTTCCATACTCACATCCAATCCTGGCTCCCCTGGCTTTCCCTGCAGATGTAAAAATAAAAATTGAAGCCGTGCTGTGTTGAGTTTGGTGTTGCAGACAAACTGAGATCCCGTTGGTTTATCATGGCAGTGAGAGCACAGGCTCATCCAGGAGYGCCTGGGGCTTGGGGCTGCTCCTTTGCCACCCACCAGGGCAGGATTTTACAGCCCCTGGTTTAGGATGACACCCCAGGGTCCCTGCTCCCCTCCCATTCCCATCGTTACCTTCTCTCCCTTGGTGCCGGGTAAACCAATGAGCCCTGGAGCACCCGGGAGACCCTGAAATTAAAACAAGGCATTGGGATTGCTGCTGTGACACAGACTTCTGTCAACAGTCAGAAAGGAGGTTTGGGAAAACAACTCACAGCTGGTCCAGTGTCACCGTGGTCCCCCTTCTCTCCAGTGTCACCTTTTTCTCCCTTTGCACCATCCAGACCCTGTGAGAATGAAGGGATCAGCCAAGGAGCCCTGGCAGCCACCCCAGTGCAGCCACCCCAAACACCCACCCCTTCCACCCCTTCTCTGGGCTGCTCATCCCACTCTGCTGGGGATGCTTTGCTCTTGACCACATCATGGAAGAAAACAGCTGAAAAGGTTTAAGTCTCTTGGTTTGGAAACCCTGACTCTCACCAGCTCTCAGGATTCTGCTGGAGGAGGGGTTTAGATTTTAAATGTTTGGAAGGAGAAATGGCTTGTTTTCTAAAATGCCAACTGCTGAACAGTGTAACCAAGGGATGTGTTGTGACAACAGTGACAAAAATCTTGKTCTCCAGAGCTGACAGGCCTTTGTGAGCCTGTAAATAATGCACTGGCAGCTGGGAATCTGGGTGACATTTAATTTATTGACTTACTTTAGGCCCCTGGATTCCTGGAGGACCCTGTGGGAAAGACAGTGGTGCTTTTGAGAAAAACAGAATTAAAAACACACCTTAAACTTTCCTTCCCAAACCATTTCTTGCTCAAATTATGGGMTGACAATGGCCAAATATTTCTCTTCAAGGCAGGTGGCAGTTTGTTTAGTTCTCAAATATCAAATGAGGGGGCAGGGGAATTGAAAATGAGCACTCTGTGTAACACAGGACAATAAAGCTCTGCAACAAAAGCTTTGGGGAGTGAGAGTCCCAAAAAGCTTTGCTGCAGAAGGTGACAGGAAGCTCTGGGGGTGGCATTGTGCCACCACAGCCCTCCACACCTGGGCAGGGCTGGGACACCTCCCAGGCTGTGAATGCCASCTGCTTTTGAGGCATGGTCTCTCGAGGTGAATCTTGGTCCCATTAGGGGCAATCCCAGACTTCCCAATGTCCTACAGCTCCTTTTGGAGCATTGAAGGCACCAAACCCCTTCAATTTCTGCATCAAAATATTCATTATCACCTGCATCCTCTCCCAGTGCAGCTGATGGCAGAAAATTTAATGATTTGAGTAAGTTTAGGGGGAATACAGGCACAGTCATTGTGGGGAACAAAYTTTCCCACCCCACAAGATTTTATCTTTTCTCCATCCCAAGGAACAACTTGCTTTTTTGCAAAATGAGCCGCAAACTCTGATGTACCCTCCTAAACTGCGTGCTTTTATCTCTCCACGGACACATCACAACGCTGTAGCTATTCTCTGATTTCTTCCCCAGATTCAAGACAGCCCACAATGATTAAACAGAACAAACCACCCTTGTCCTTATCTAATCCCATACAGTAACAAATCTGCAGGAATGMCTTCCAGAGTCCTACCATAGGGCCAGGTAATCCGGGGGGTCCAGGCTCAGGTATGATCTGCAGGAGGGAATTAAACAGCAGGTTAAAAAGAGAGAAAGGTTCAGGAGTGGAAACCTCACCAAGCCCAGAATCATAATTTAATGCCCAATTAATTACAGAATTCGGTATCTTAACCATTAATACAAAATCTAACTTTGTAGCACCAAATGTGCAAACTGCTCTTCCTTAATGAATAAACACATTTAGACACTTCTGAAAGTTCTTGTTGATAACATTGGGATTTTCCTGATGGATATGGGACTGGTGGGTCCATCCTGCACCCCCAACTTTGCCTGACCCTGCTTCATGGAAGAGGCTTTATGTTGCCAAGATCTTACATGATTATTCTGCAGACAGGGTGACCCAGTGTCTCCTTTTTCCCCTTTGTCTCCTCTTGGCCCWTCTGCTCCCTGAAAGGTAAAAATATAATGCTGATGTGCTGCATCTTCCAGRAAAGCAAAAAYGTGAGAAAAATTMATTTGTCTCCCTCTAARCACCATCCTTGGCACAAGCAAAGCTCATGTCCATCTCCAGGGGACTTTGAAGAAATATTTTCTACTCCCTCCTACATTCTGGATGAGCTGATTAGAAATGGAAATTCAAAGCTCCCTCATCCACCAGCTCCAGAGTAAGGTGGTGTGGAGAGGTCTTTGCTCAAATCAGCCAACCCATCCCCATGCTGAGCATTTGCAGGAATCAGTGCAATTAAAGAAAATTAAAGAGCTGAGAGATGCACAGRGCAGACACAGGGACGTACCGGGGGACCTGCTGAGCCCATTTCTCCTGTTTCTCCTTTCGGCCCCGTGATGCCCACATTGCCCTGGTCACCCTTTGCTCCTTTGGGACCCTGCAGGTTGACAGAAAACAACGTGTTTAGGAGAAAACTGTTAAAAAAACCACCCCACAACAGCCACTCCTGCCTTTGTGCTGTTTCCCCCCACACCGCAGCGTGAGCTCACGAGAACATGTTTTAACGTTCAAACTCGCAGATGCCAATTTTGAGGGCGCAGCAGAATTTGGCCGGGCTGCAGGAGGGATTGCAGCCATTTGGGGTTGGGAAGGTTTACAAAAAAAACTTGAGCCAGCATCTGATGAGCTGCTTGTGAAAGGAACCCGGCAAACRCGGCCACGAGCAGCATCGGCACGCTCAGAGCAGAGAGGGGCTGCAGGCAAAGGGCCATCAGCTCAGGGAGACAGAGCTGACATTGCAGGGCAGGGCTGGCTCCTGGCAGGCTGGATCTGCTTTTCACAGACACACAGCACCCTTCCTTTTCATTTGGCTCCTGGCAAGGTCTCTCCCGATCCAGCCATGCCCCGCTCACCTTTTCGCCGTCCATTCCAGGCGCACCTGGCMAGCCCTGCTCTCCCTGGAGGGACACAAAGAAAGGGGAGCCCGTGGTAAATTAAATCAGGAATTCATCTCTTGGCAACATTTTGCAAAGAGATGAGTTTTTCCCGCACAGCTGTTGTGGTTATGGGTTTGCCCTGCCAGGCAGGGAGGTGTCAGTGATGCACCAGCAGCACCAGCTGATCCAAATATTGACAGAGGCCTCAAAAGGCACCRAAATCCTGTGCCATCCCATCTCTTTCAAGAGGCACTTCTCTGCAAAYTACATTGTTTTTAAGACAGTGCAGCTGGCTGGAGGTTACAGACTAAAGCAGAGGACAACAAGCAGGTSCTGGGACAGTAAAGAGCACATGGGGAGGGTGGGAATGAGGGGGCTCAGCACAGCCATGGGACTGCCAGCCCCTCTCAGCACTGCTTCTCCCAMTTCTGCTCCTGCCACAGGCAATGACGTGGCCTCAAAATGGCTGGGGTTTAATCTGTTAGCTGTAGGACTGGGAGGGGATCAATTCCTGGGACAGCATCCTCTGGAAGGAGGACAGAGACAGGTCAACAAAGCTTTGGCTTTTGTGTGAAAGCCTCATTCTTTTCAGCCAGAGAAAGGGTAAAATRGCACACACAACCTCCAATTCCTCAGCAGGCAGCTGCAATTGCCTTACTTTGGCTTGGGAGACTCTACATAGAAGGCTACTAATGGTGGTGTCACTTGGCAGAGGGCAGGCTCACCTTGGGTCCTGGAGTGCCTTGGGGGCCTGGTGGCCCTTGGGGACCYGGGGGACCCTGAAACACAGCAAACAAAACAGGCTTGATCATGGCTACCATGAACATGGCACGGTGTCCTCGTGCTGTGGGGCTGARCAGCTCCAGCCACATCTGCAGGAGATACTCAGGTGAGGGAATTGCCCAAATTGTCCAAAAAAGCTCAACAGACACAGAGTGACCCGGGGCCTTTTGTTCGTGCAAAAGAAAACACCAAGGGAGAGAGTCAGATTTACAGCTGCAAAGACCTGGGTTAAGAGGCAAAATGCCCTTAGCTGGAGCTGTGACCCCAAATCTGGTGGGCTCTTTTTGCATCCTGCCTGCTCCAGCATTCCATCCTGCTGAAAACAGTGTCAGCCAGAAGGTGCAGTCAAAGAGRGGAAAACAAAGGAGTTTGTGCGAGCACTAACAACAAGAAAACCTTGCACACTTAAGTCATTTTTCCTGGGCACTGCTGGATGAAAAGACCACAAACCACTTTGAGATGAACGAATATTTTCYGATTTGCAAATTATTCAAAGCAGCAAAATTTGTGGGCTCTCTAAGATGGAAGCCAAACCAGTATCATATCCTCAAGCACCTTTTTCCACGGCTGCACATTCAAATGCTGTTACTTTTAGTCATACTGGAAGCCTTTCCAGAGCCTTGTCCATGAGACAGATCAGTGCACAAACACTGCAAACAGCGATTAAGCAGGAAAACTGCAGTTAGTGGGGTTCAGTGATGTGCTCCTGAGCAATCTCTGCATGCAGAACATGGGACAGGGTCTGGGTCCAGAAATGAAGCCTGATGTTTGCTGGAGCCTCTCCAACCATTTCACTCCACAAGCCCCACTCCCAAATCTCCACGCCATGCAGAGACCTGGCAAACAGAAATTACCACCACTTTGTGTATCCCTGCAGCCTGTTAAAAAACAATTAGGATAGTTCTCAAATATGTCTGAAATGAAGTATTTAGCAGCCTAATGAAAAGGCCAGGGCACTGTTCAGTGGGGCAGGGTGCCATTCCCCTTTCTCCCACATCCCGCCTGCTGCTACACCCCAAATACCCTCAGCCCCGATGCAAAAAGCTCTTCCCTCCCAGCCAGCCCTGTGCCAAGAGAGAAATCTCAGGAGGATATACAGGATGAGGGTGAGCACATTGTCACAGTGTCACTGTGATCCTGGCAGGTTTTCAGTCCTTTGCCACGAGCTGCAGGACTGGGCACAGCCTTGGTGTGGATTTACCTTGAGCGCATCCAGGATCCGCCCGTCGTAGTCGATCACCACCGTGTCCCCTTGCTCCCCTTTCAGCCCAGGGGGACCCTGCAGCCAGGGATGAATCCTCTTTAATGTTACAGCACTGAGAGGGGKGAAAGCCAAGGCCTGACACGCAGCRTTTGGGGGTTATCACCTTACRAACACCATGGGTTTAACCGGCCCTTGGTCTGACAGCTGGCACTGTCAAACCTCAAAAGGCCATCACTCTGTGTAATGGAGAAGTGCACAGAGATCCTCACTTGATTACCCCTATTCCCAGCTTCCCTCTTGTGAAAGAAGGGGTCACAGCATGGTTATGTGGATAAGAAAATTGGACTTGRCTGATTTCCCATGTCAGCATTCAGTACCTGCATAATCATTTGTTTAAATGTGCACCGTCTCTATTTTCTCACACTGAACTGRTCCTGAAGAGACTCATCCACATACTAAGCAAAAAGAGGTGATGGGGAATAGCTCAAGCAGAGCCAAATACACAACTCCAAACTRAAATCCTGAACATCCATACCCGGGGTCCAATGGAGCCAATTCCTCCTTTGTCACCAGGTTCACCCTGAAAATAAAAAAATCACATTTTTGGTTCAAGAGACCAAAGAAAATAAAGAATATTTATTTTAAAAATACTATGTTCACCTATAAAGATATGGTTTAGATTAAGAAAAAGTATGACACCAACAAGGGACTGCTTCTTCTAGCAGAAAATAGATTCGACCTGAGAGCAARTGTTATTTTGTGATGAAGAATGTTGGTTAACAACAAGAGAAGTAGGAGAAGGTTTCATTGCAGGGKGAGTGGAGTGGCCAGCTCAGGGCTGAGCTCCCTGCATGGGCTGTGCTGCTCCCCAGCTCCTCTCCCTGCTCTGAGCGTGCTGAGCTCCAGCCCTTTGTGCTGCTTCCACATGGCTCCCTTTGCTTTAGGCTGAGTTCTGCATGTGGAACGTTTCAGCCGAGACATTTAAACCATTTTCAAGGGTGAGCTTAAGGAAAAGGTCTGTGCCAAATTGTTCCTTTTTTCCTTCTCTCTTTTGTTTTTTCCCCTTCCTCTTCTTTTCATAATTTTTCTTTTTGAAAGTTGGAGAGCTTTAMAAAACCACATTACTCTCAGGGCAGTGACCTGAAATTTGGTTCAGGATTCAAAAGATATCCCATTTGTCATGGCCATATTAATCCCCTTGCTGACCAAATTAAAAGTAAAAAATGGTAAAAATGTAGAGAAAAAACCCTAAATTCAATGAGCAGGGCTGCCATGGTTCTAGAAGAACATTACCAGAGCCCACTTTCTTCCTCACACACACTTTCTTGTCTGATRACGAACCACAACTCTTTGATACAGAAAATATTACTGCATCCAGGTCCTACTGAATACAAAGCAGCTGAGGGGGTGAATAACAGCCCTGGGATGGTGTTCAGGTCTCCTCATCACCACTTAATGACCCAGACTGTCTAATTGCATCTCTCAGCAATTTTGGAGGTCAGTGGGACAGGACAGCTCACAAGTGCTTGGGCTCTGAAGCAATAGCCACCAATAAAATGAGATCAAAATGTGATCAGAATTTCCTCCTTTGAGGAAAAAGGTMATTCCATGGAAAATGTGTGAACAGATGGCTTAAAAACTTTTATACTGATAGGTGCTTGAAGCCAGCTTTCACCAAATCACCAAGAAAAGATAAAACACTCTTAACATCCCTACTTTTCTGTCAGTTTTGGCATTTTATGGGCCTTTTAGAAGGCAAAGGCCCAAAACAGCTCCTCCATGGAACCCTCTGCCCCAGCAATGCTGTGCCCAGAGTTCCAACTTTTCTTTACCTTCAGTCCTGGGGRTCCGTCTGTGCCGTTCTCTCCCTTGGCACCCACGCTGCCTTTTTCTCCCTGAAAACAAAGCCATTTAGACAAATGTACAGGAAGGATGGGGAGCAGATTGGGTTATCATTTTCTCAATTTATCTTCATTGTACATGCAGAAGCAAGCAAAGCTCTGCTTTTACCCATGAACACATCACATTGCCCAGGTGCAAATGGGGCATTTTTGAGATAAAAATGAACCTTTTGGGTTCAACAGTTTGGCTGTGGGTGGTGTGTTCAGCCATGAAGCTGGCCCCAAAACCATGGAACAGAATCATAAAACCACAATGTTTTTTTGTTGGAAGGGGTCTTGAAGACCATCCAGTACCAACCCCTTCCACCATCCCAGGTTCCTCCCAGCTCTGTCCAACCTGGCCTTGAACATTTCCAGGGATGGAGCAGCCACAGCTTCTCTGGAGCATCTGTGCCAGGGGTCAGCACCCTCACAGTTTCTCAATCTTTTTTCCCCATCAGGGGAGAAATGTTTCTCAGCCTGCCCCAGCTGAGATGTGGTGCCAAGAAACCAGAGAGCAGAAGATGCTGCATCAGATGGACACAGGGCAGGACATACCTTGGGGCCCACAAGTCCTGGTTCCCCAGGGATCCCATCGTCACCCTGATGAAATGAAATATAAAAAATGAAATACACAGAGGCTGTACACACCCACAATGTTCCAACACATGACTTGACCTCACTGGATGTTGCACAGACCTGAAACCCACTCAGGTGTGCAGGAGAGCTGCAGCAAGGAGCCCAGGAGGCACCAGCGTGGTTCCCCTGCTCCCACCCASCCCTCCCACCTCCCCTGCTCATGGAGAGGTGAGTGAGCATCTTCCAGCATTTGCTTACAGCAGACCCTGGCAAARGTCTTCTCCCACCTTCAACAGAAACTAAATATTAAATCCCTTTAGGCTTTTTGGGTCCCAAAGACCTCCTGTAAGCTGCCACCCATCCTCATAGACTCGGTCACAAGTCACCAACACCCTCTGCCACAAGTGGTTTTTCTGGTTTCATTTGTGCTTTGTTGTTCTCCTGGAGTAAAASCACTCCATGGGTGCTGAACAGATTTGTTTTTATGACATTTTAAAGCCTAATTCTGGCCAGGAAAACACCCATGGCCACATGTGTTTCGGGGCAAACCAGTGAGAGGGAAAGGCTGGGCCCTGTCAGTGCTTCGACTTCACTTAAAATCAGTGATTTATCCACGGGGAGAAAACGTGGAGAGCTTGGACATGTGAATCTCTCAGAGTCTGCAATGCCACACCCAGGCAGCATTCCTGGCCCTAAGAGCGGGCATTTCCCCCTGTGGGGCTGCAGTGCTGCCATTCCATCCCAGGAATTTCAGAGCCACCCCAGGGCCCCTGGGCAGAGCACACCCTCCAGGCACATCTTGGTTCATTGAATTCCTGCAGAGAAAGGGCTCAGGACCCATTGCCTGGCTTGGCATTTGCTGTTTTATTCTTTGCTGGGCAGATGTGGCTGCAGTCCTGGCTCACTGGTGGAAATGAAATCCAAGCTGCAGGCACTGCCCAGCTCTGGGGGAGCACAGGGGAAGGGTTGGAGTGGACAGCCCCAGCTATGGCTCTTACACCAGTCCATGGCAATGATTTCCCTAGCCAAAGAAAAAAAAATAAAAAAAAAAAAAAAACCACCAAAAAACCTACCCCCCCAAAAAAAAGCCAAATTAAAAAAACCCAAAATAAACAAAAAAAACCAAAAACCACACCTCAAAAAAAACCTCCCCCCCAAAAACCCAAATAAAAAAAACCCCAAAATAAACAAAAAACCAAAAACCACACCTCAAAAAAAAACCCGAAAACCAGCCAACCAACCAACAAAACCCACCCCCACCAAAAAAAACAAACCCCCCCCCAAAAACCCTAAACACCATTTTACCTTTTTCCCTTGGACACCAGGCTCACCCTTCAAAAGCAATGTCAGCAGAAAAGAAAGAAATTTAAGGGCATAGCATAAAATAAGGCCAATTACATGGATAGTCAAAATTAATTGTAAAATTAATTGTAAGATAAAAGCACTTGGCTCGTGCTGATCATATTTTCCCCCCTGAAATGCAAGAGAGCACATTCCTGCAGCCCAGCAGATTCCAGCCCCCTGYGGCTCCCTCCACTCCCATTTCCAGGTTTGAACATGGGCAGTGGATGTGAGATTGAGGAAATGACTCATTCAGACATTCACACCCCCAGTCGATGCCTTGGAATTTTATATCTGATATACACAGAGGAGTGCAAGTCCAGAAAAATGTTGGTTTTCATCCCCACCTCTCTCATGAAGCATTACTTTGAGAAATCATGTTAACATTAGACGGATTATCACCCACCTTTGGTCCTGGAGGTCCTCTGGCACCCTGTAGAATTTAAGAGTGGTTGGTTCACTTGTCTGATAGCAGAGTATAACCTGATAAAAACTCTCTAACAGTACTTWAATTCCATTTAAAAAAAGACACACATTGTCATCTTCCCTTACAAATACAGCTGTATTTGCTCTCTGTGCTCCCAGTAAATGATATCCTTTTATGGCTCATGTGTTTTATATATAATAAGCACCTTTTTATCCAACATAGACYGTAACAAATTGGAGTTACAATACCAGGTGGCTTCAGAGTGGCAGAATTCAGGACACAGGATAACCACATCCCTCCAGAAGAGCCAAGGGCACACAAAAACTGGCCTCGTATCTCCCCAGGGCGCAGATAGCCCTGGACAAACATCCATTTTAGGGCTCCTATAATGTCATGTGGGGTTTTTTTGGCCTCCATAAGCACTGACCCAAACCCCCTCGCTGCAGTGAGGGTGAGGGGCACACACACACATTGTTCCTGGGCAATACTGACCATGGCTCCATCCTCTCCTGGCTCGCCTTTAAAACCCTGAAAAAAAAGTCCAACATTAAAACCATTACCTACATTAAAACCATTACCTCTTGCTCTCCAACACGCTCAGCAATAATTAGAACGTTCCACTGCATTATGCTTTAGCCTATTTTTTTAATTGAATAAATTGCCAGTGGTCTTCAGATTAGCAGCAGCTCATCCAAAGGGATTGGGGCAGAGATCTCCGGGTTCTCWGAGTCACACCCAGCACCTGCAAACACACACCCGGTGCAGCTCTTTGCTCCAAAACTCCAGATGGAAGATTCCCCCCTGCTCCCCTGCCCTGCACCCCAAGGCTTTGCCCTGTGAGCAGCCCCTGGACCCCGGGTGGGGCTCAGGCTGGGGTCCCAGTGGCCGTGGTGGCAGCACAAGGGAGGGGACAGCCCTGACCCTGCTCTGAGCTCGGTGTCGCTGCTGTCCTTACAGGGGAGCCTGGAGGTCCTCTTGGGCCATCCTTTCCCGTGTCACCAGGAGGCCCCCGGGCACCTGGCGGTCCTGGYGGACCAGGGGGGCCCGTGGCTCCATCTCGACCTTGATCACCCTGGAAGAAGTTCACACAGACATGGTGAGAGGAAGCACTGCTGGCAAGGGGTGSTCTCAGGGCGTCCACAACACATGCACTGCACCCCTGGGTCACCAGCACCCTGGCTCTGCTGTCCCACAGGAACTGAACTGCAGCTTCCAGCTGGGAAAGCTGAAAGGGAGCTCATGGCTGATTTRTGCCATTTGGGTCTGGTTCCACAACCAGGATCGTGCTCAACGCCTTCCAACGAGATTTCATCTCCTCGAGCCCTTGCCCTGTGACTGTGTGCAGGGAATTACCAACTCCACAGCACCCAGAACAGCCCAGCCCCACACCATGCTGCAGGGAGCATGCACACGCTGCCACAGYGCAGAAAAGCACACTGAGAACGTGGCAGGGCTTGATCTCACCATTTACACACAGCCAAGGTCACACACCAGCACCCTGAGAGCTCACACCCTGTGGATTTTGGGTGCAGAGGACCAGCTGTGTCCCTGGGGCTGGGCAGGGCTGGTGGGTGCCACTGCCAAGGGGAGCATCCCCTGGGGCTCCAGGATGGACATCACTCCCARCCCCTCTCCAGCCCCAGGACATGGTCCAGCCCATCCACAGCACAATGGGAAAACCTCATGGAATGGAGCCTYGTAAATCTTTTAACAACATCTGGGAGAGTCACCACCGAGGGAGTCAGAGGGCTGGGTTTAATATGAGGCCCACTTTCRAACCAGGGACAAGTGTGGGATTTTTCAGAAGTCCTTAAGTGACTTAGCAGCTCAAGTCCCATGGCCTTTCAGCAAGATCGGGGCTCCTAAATCACTTGCATCATTTTTTAAAAAACCCAATTGCAAATGCTGAACYCTGCAACCAATTATGTGAAGTTGAGTCTCCCACTGAATTTTTCCTAATTACAGTGTCACATTTGGAGTTCAAGGGTTTTGATTACTCTAGTTTTATTGTGCTTTATTTTACAATACCAGCACTGTTCATATCAACATTTATAGGACTTTGTTGCTTGATTCCCAAATCTCACAAAGAACCAAATGCTAAAACCCGTTAGTTTTATGTCTCCCTATTTTGAAAATGCTTGCCCCCTAAATTTCAATGAGGTTTCACTCAAACAAAATCCAGACAAGCATCTCTAAACACAGCCGAGGCAGTGGCAATTTAAAACAGCAACAATGCACYATCAGCCAGAAAGAAAAAACAAAAGCAGCTCAGAAAATCACAGCAAACCAGTGGCAGCAGATTCGGGGTCTACCTTGAGCACTCGCCGGCTAAAGACATGYTGATCATTAGCCAGAAATCCGTGATTGAGGTGGGGGAAAACCATCTGTATTCAGGGAAAGTGGGAGGCAGAGGAAGAAAGAGCAGCAGTTTAAGATGAAAGCACAGCAGAAGTGTGAATTTTACAGGCTGTAGCAATATATAACAATTTTAATATCTAGATAACATCTTGATAGATTAGAAAGGAACAGCCTAGGTAGCCAGCAGTGGTGGTTTTAAGGTTCTGGGTACCCTGGAGCTTTGTAAGCAGGGCACAGACTGAGCTAAACAAGTATTTTTTCACCAGTTKACTGCACAATAGGACATTCAAAGCAGATGGGGCGAGGATTCCCCTACTGCAGAATAAAGAGCATTATTCCAGTAAACCCCATAGGGGATGATATATCCCAGCATATCCCTGAGACCAAACACTGCATTTGTTTTCAGAGGCTCAAATGAATACTGATGTATTCCCAGACTGCAAATTGCAGATAAATCTCCCAGATTTATTTGATGCAAAAACAATGTATTTAGACTGTGTCAGTAGTCGTTGCTATTGTCTTTTAGCCTTTCCACTCATCTATCTGGGGAGAAGCAGTGAGACATTTCCTTTCCTTAGGACACCATGTGCATCTCCCTTTCCCCACCCATCCCTGTGCACATCCAGAGGAGAATCAGGAGGGTGGAGTGAAGCCACAAGATACCCTGTGGGAGCACACAGCAAAACCTCCATGAGGATTTTTGGAGGTTTCTATGGAAAAAACCTCTTGTCCAAATAGCCAAGGAGATTTATTATAGATTTATTATAGATTTATTATAGATTTATTATAGATTTATTATAGATTTTTATAGATTTCTTATAGATTTCTTATATTTATTATAATAGCAGACAACCCCAAACCTCAATTCTGGGGTAAATATTACACTGGCAAGTGCGATATCTCCTGCCCAGCCTCACAGCATGGACTTTTTAACACCACAAATTTTTGCCAAAATGACAGGGCAAAAGTAAAGTCAGATAGGAAAAAACTTGTCAACCCTAGAAAATAAACCCCTACCAAGGATTTTTTCAAGATATAGAGAGAGGTTTTAACTGCTATACTCTGTGAAATGCAGCCATTTTTGGGAAGAACAGCACTGAAATACTGAGAAATTGAAATTAATGGGGACACAGRACACTTGCACTTGGCCAGATCCTCCAAATACTACAGAAACCACCAAAAAGACCAGTGAGAGCAAAGGGTTTTGTGGCAGACAGAAGGGACACAGTTTTCTGGTTCATTGGTGTATAAAGATGCCCAGGAGCATAAAGGCGGATTTTCATAAAAGCCCACAGAGCAAGAAAGTAACTTTTTTTCTTATCCCTCAGACTGGTGAACATCATCCAAATAAACACATTCCAAGCCCAGCCCTGCCTGTTTCAATGGAAAATTTGCATTTGCTCTGAGGCCAGACACACCATATCCCACYAAATCCAGCCATCACAGGTTTAATTTTAAACAGCCCCTGTTACAGATGGAACCAYGAAAGGTGAACAAATTTGAGGGATATTAATGAGGCATCACCCCTGGTTCTAGAAACACCCAGGCCATAGAGAGCCAGGCTCCAGGAGATGGGTTAAGGGTGATGGGGTAACAGGTTTCTGCTCCACACTTCCCAAAACATCTCGTTGCAAGGCTGGGCTAAGTGGTCTTGGGTCTGACTCTGTGTAGCAACAGAATATTGGAGCACAGAAACCTTGAACACTGGTGATTTCCAGCTTTAGAGCCTCGGTTCAACCATCTCAACATAACTCTCCAAAGTAAGCAAATCAAAAAATAGAAGTATCCATAGGTATCTGTTGGCTGCCACAGAGAGCTCTACAGGATGCTTCCTGTGCTGAGGTTATCTGCAGTGTGAGCTTGGCAAGAGGCTAAAATTCTGCAGAAAATGAGGGAGGAAAAGCTCCTGCTGTGTGTGCAGGTGACTGCAGAGCCAGTTCAGCCCTGCCAGCAGCTCAGGGTGAGGGAGATTCTGGAGCCATCTCGGTCATGGACAGGCATGTGCCACACGGGCACTGCAGGCAGAGCTTTCCCCTCCCCAGCTGAGACTCATTTTCTGCCTCTGAGGTTCATTTTCTGCCTCTGAGGTTCGTTTTCTGTCTCTGGGGCTCATTTTCTCCCTCTGAGGTTCATTGTCTGCCTCTGGGGCTCGTTTTCTGCCTCTGAGGTTCATTTTCTGCCCCTGGAGAGCAAAGCCATCACTGCTGTCACAGGCACTGCTCATTGCCAGCCCAGATGTGCCGATGCTCCTCAACACCTCCATGTGTSTGATCTCCTCTGTCAGTATGAACCAGATCCCCCAGCTCGGTTCATAAACCCAGAGCACTCAGCCAGACAGGCTCAGGGGGCCAGGCTGGTTTATAAAGGCTTTTCCAGGGGTGCAACAATGCCTTTGATTGTCAGAGACAAGCACGGGCACAAATACCGGGGCACAGCTGTCCCAGCCTGGGCACCACCCTGCTCCAGCTCCCTCCATCCTCCCCGAGGATCTGGGGATGGATTTCTCCCTGCAAACACACTTCCATGTGTTCTGTCAGTGCATTTGGGCTCATCCATTCCCCATTGTGAGCAGGTGAGGCTGCACAGCATCTCCCTCACACTTTCTATGAGAATGAGCAGGCAATGACAAAGATAATCCTGTGTGATTTCCTTCCTCAGCTTTCCAAAACCACCCTCCAGCACCTGACASCAGCACACTCACAATAATCTCTGTTTTCACCCAGGGTTTGTTGCAGAAAGAGGAGCAGTGCAGACATGAACATATTCAGTAGCTAATCCTGAATTGGCAGCACCTCACTGCCACCACAGACAGTCCCTCCAAAGCCACCCCAAGGATTATTCCCWTGAAATCCATCATTCCTAATGTATTTTAGTGGTCACTGACACACACTGCCCCCATTCCATTCTATCTTCCATTTACGAGGAAGAGGGCCCTGGATACAGTCTGAGTTATTTATCTTCCCATTGATGCAGTGAGYYGCATTGACACATCTTTCAAAATCCRCTAAACAAAGCCACCACTGAAACTTGAGGAATAAGATAAATTAAGTTCAGAAAAAGTAATCTGGACCAGATGGTATCAAGAAGTTTTGCCTCCTATTCACAACCCCGAATGTCTGAAGACTTTAAGGAAGCTATTTCCAAAATCAGGCACGTGTTTTTAGATCTATTTGTGCATGGTTCTGCCAGGCTTGTTTCTCCCAAATTGTTTTTGAGTTTTTTTCTCACCATTGTCATAAAAAAAAAGAGTAATAAATAAATAAAAAAACTAAAGCAAAACCTGGAAAAATGCTGATCTGAACAAAAAAGAAAGAAACAATAAAAAAATCAATTCTTGGTCGATGAAAACACAGTACAAGCGTTACCTTGAGAGCTGGCACCTGCAAGTGCAGACAGAGCCTGTCCCAGAGCATCTCCTGCAGCAGGAGGAGTTCTGCWGTCCTGCAGAGCCTTTGGAGCCTGAGCAGCACCTCCTGAGCCAYCAGCTCAAAGCCATCCACAGCCAAGGAGTGCAATCTCTCGTCCCTGTGCTGCTGGATCACCTCTTAAAGCCTCTTCAGAGCGCGTGGGTGGGCTCAGACAAAGTGAGACCTTACACCGAGCCCCTCCTCAGCCACATGGGCCATAAATCTATCTGAGAAATTTTAGGGGCTCTCTGAGCCCCAGGGTGACATTTCCAAACACACCCAAAGAAGTTGGGAGCTGCTTCAGAACATGAYACCAACTTCATAAAGTGATTTTACAGCCTCTAGGGGAATGAAGAAAAAATGTCTCTGAGGCATCTCTGCCTGACATTAACCTCTTGGGCCCTGGTTATGTTTCCAGCAATGATATCTGGCCCAACTGTTGTGTGTCAGCTCCAAAACTGGCCTCCTACAGTGATCTGCACACAGGATTTCCAATGTATCCCCACTGTGGGGTTTCCAGCAGGTGCCCATAAYCCACACCTCAGAAATGCCTCTGTGACAGAGCCAACACCTCCCATCTCATCCCCAATGTGGCCCACATCCCCCTTGTGTCCCATGGAGACCTGTCCTGTTTACTTCAGTAAATCTCAACTTAAAATAGTTGAGCTTCATGAGAGCCATTTCCCAAAAATTCCATCAATTTCTGTACGTTATACCAAAACAGTTTTCCCTCTTCATGGAGTTACTTTAAACCCTTTATTTTCAGAGGCAGCCKGGATATCACCCATGTGCCATCCTTCCATCCTGCACAGCTCTGTGCTGGACTCTCCTCTGGTCCCCAGCTCCCATCCCCACATTCTGGTGCTCCAGTGCCAGCAAATGAGGAACACAGCCTCAAGAGAAACTGTAGGAGAAACATGGGGTCTGTCTCTGGTACTGGAAGAGGAAATCGGGGATGAGAAAGTTCACAGAAGCAAAACCCCGCATGAGATCATCAAAGGTCTTCCTTTTCCCTCGTGGCCAAATTTWGGAAAACCACCCCCACAAAGAGCTCCAAAGGCAAAATTAAACATTTCCACAACTGTTGCCATACTGTTTGCAGCAAGGCTGAGCAAAGCTTTGTTTTGAGAAGTGACTAAACCCAACCAGATTTTAAAATAAATCAKCGTGCTGTGTCACCACTCACCCTTGGGCCGATGTCTCCTGCTTCCCCCTGCAAATCAGGACAAAGAGTGAAGGGTCAGAGTTCAAATGTCAGCCCTGAAGGACTGAGCACAGGGTCAGCTGGAYGTGGGTACAGCACACAAGGAAGTGGCAAGAATCCTGCTGCTTAAAGTATTTAAAATGGGGGAGCAGAAGGGTTCGAGACAGCACAACTGGCAGGCGATGAAACAGATAATAAATCAGAAATTGCAGTTTGTTTCCAGCTCTAAGGCTCCCCTAGCAACTGCTGATTCCTTCACATGTGAAAATTAACTTCACTTTCAGTGATGACCTTCTTTGGCTGCTCTGATTTCACGGGTGTCATGCAAACACAGAGCGATGGAGCCCAGATCCCTGGGAGGAATGAAAATGGTTTTGTGCCACTCTCATCATCCTTAGGGGCTTACCAGAATCCTACAGCACAAGTGAGCTTTAAGGCCATACTTCTTCCTCCCACTTTTTTGCAAATTCTTTCTGCCCTCCCCTTCCTGTGGCTTTTCCAAGGGCAATGTGAGAACCCCCTCTCACAGCTCCACATCCCAACAAAACCCATCTGGGATGCTAGGAAAACCTGAATTTGAAGGAATTACAGCAAAAGGAGGATACACAACTGCTTCCCCAAAATCCACGAGTTAACACAGCCTTTACCTTCTCGCCTTTTGGTCCTGGAGGTCCCTGCAAACACACAAGATGGATCCAAATTAAGGAACAGCAGAATCATCAACGCACGTGACATTAAAAACAAGGAGATTGCATCCAGCAATTCACAAACCTGAGCCACATTCTCTATTATTTTAAGGAATATAGTTGCTATTTTAAATTGTGCATGGCTTGACATGAGCAGCACTCTACCAAAAAGCACCCAGGAGGTGCTGCCTGCTCCTGCCAGAGAATGGAGAAGGAACAGAACGGGGCAGGCAGTGTGACAGCAGCTCAACAGTGTGTGACTCTAAAGAGATGCAAAAGATATCTCGAGGTATTAAATCACTGCTAGAAAAAACACATGCTCAGCATATCATTACAACAATTATACATCTGTTTGAAATAAACAGGAGGACGGGCTGCTTTCTTTGGCCTGTTTGCTGAAGGCACCATTCATCTTCCCTCGGAGCAGCTGTCTGTGAGGCAGAGACACCGAGAGCTGCACTTTGATGTGTCTGCTCTGCGTTTGCCTTCCAGCACAGAGAAGTCCCAAAGCTTGGTCCCAGCTCTGTGTGAGCTGCAGTGGGACCCGGTGGGATGCAGGGGGGAAGGTCAGCGGAGTGGCCGGCAGTGTCCACGTCCCCACACCGCCTCCCTCCCCCTGTTCATCCCTGAATGGCCAGCAGCCCTTCCTGCCATGGAGCAGACCACAAACAGCCTGCCTGGAGTCTGCCTGTGTGATAAAATGGCTTTGTCGTTGAGATTTGCCCATCCTCTCCCTTGGGGTGTCGCTCCTGCCCTGCAGTGACCCCCAGCCTGGGTTGCAGGACCCTGCTCTGGGGTCTGACTGAGCTCCCAGCAGCAGATTTTGCTCATAAAAGCCAAGCCCTGAGCTGGCCCTGCCTTCTTTTCTTGTCCAATGCTTATTTCTAGATTTTATTCACGTTYGTTCTCCTCAGGGTTAGGATAAAAACCAACCATAGCAATGAACAGCTATCTCAACACACTCYGGATGGAAATAAATGTCTGGAGCTGCTTTTCCATTGCAAACACTGAATGAYTTTTACCCACTTGGTTTAGGACCAGAATTAAAAAAAAAAGATTTCATATGGGGCCCTCTAATGAAGGTGGAGGAAGAGAATGGGGTTTGGAGACAAAATCTGGAGCTGTGACCTTCTGTAGGAACCATTCAGTGGAAGGAATTAGAGCTGGCTGGGGTTCAATTAGCATAAAAATAAAAAAGCCTGTGTTTCTGTAAAATAAGGAAGAAAAGAATGAAGCACCTGAATATCCAAAGGGCTTCCAARCAAAAATGAAGTCAAGAAAACAGCTCATAAATTAATCCAGTCTGTTCCAACAAATATTTCATAGACACTGGGCCCTGAGTTCTCAGCTCAGGTCCTTTGGAGGAAAACGGAACCTGCTTTGGGATCAATTATTTTTATGGTATCACTCGGTAGTGCCAGGAGCTCACAACCAAGATCACTGAATTTGCTCTTTGAATGTGCTACTGGAGTTTATTCCCCAAATTTGGCCAGATGCCCAKCTGCAGCCTGTGCTTGCYGAGCTGGCTCAGGAGGGGAAGAGGYAGATGAGATGAGCTGACAGGTAAAGAAAATTTCACCTCCTGTGCTGGCCAGCCCTGGCTCAGAATTCAAACTTGCATGGAATAATTYTCCCAAGCAGAATTTTCTCTCCTAAATAGTTATACATGTAGTGATAAATGAGTAATAGTTGAGATACTGCCTATTCATTGTGGAGCAGCACAAACAAAGACATGTTATATTTGGCACTTAGTGCTACTTACTGGTTTGCCATCCAAGCCAAGAGGCCCCTGAAAAAGGAAGAAAAAGAAAGTATTATTAAAAAAAAAGAAAAAAAGAAAAAAAGAAAAAAATTATTTACAAACATAGCAATATCAGACATGCTCTAAAAGAGACTCTACTTACATACAGTACAATCTTTGGCTATGATTCTATGGTTTACCTAATCCTTCATCCATGCAATCCAGCAGGAAGGTTTCACAGAGGTACAGTAAGAGGCATCAAACAATTTGCACAGTGTGAAGGAGCATGAAAGGAAGCGACAGGATTAGTGACAGGGATAAGGTGACACTGCTCTGGCACTTCTCCTGGGACTCCCTGAGGTTTTTAAAGTCAAAAACAGCAGAAGCAAAACATGCCTGATTTGGTTAAACTGAGCAGATCCATGAGTGATTCACATCGAYCTTGGATCTGAACCATTTATTTTTGCTAAAGCACTCTTTTATCTATCTTCCCCAGGTCCTCTGTTTCTAGGGCTGCTGCATCGAGTGGAAAATGGTTAATTCCCCAGCATTTCTGACATTTAAGCCCTTAATTATCACCAAATCACTGAATGTATTGGGCCAAAGGAAGCCTTGCTTTCGATAAGGGATGTGTGGAGGGAGTGCAGGTGCTCTAAGGCCAAAGCTGTCCCTGTCAGCAGCTGGAGATGGCTCACTCAGGGATGAAGAGACACGTACGAGTTACTGTAAATCCCAGAAAAACTGCATTTCCACCTTCTACAAACTTTCCTCAGGCCTTCTGAGGGGACACAGCACGATGGTTGTGAGCCAGCCAAGCCCTGGGTCACCCCCAATCTCCAGCGTGTGCTCCGCAGGGCGAGGATTTGGTGACTGTCCCTGTGACAGACCCCAGCCCAGCACCACAGCACAGCCAGATGCTTCTCTGGAGAGCCCAAACCCAGCCCTGCCCTGCTCTTGGCACTGCCTGTGGCAAATTCAAGRGCTCCATCTGCCCCTGCTCCCTCCTCCACCTGCCCTGCATGTGTGCCCTGCGTGGTGAGATGAAACATCTCCCATATCCAGCCCTGGATCTACCACAGCAAAAGGAGTTTGGACATGGTATAATGCAATTCTATAGCACTACAGTTCTCTGTATTTCTTAAGGAAGTGATTAGGGTGAGTATTTTTGAGTTTTCCTTGTATCTCTGATGGGGAAATGGAGCAAAGAGGTGAAGATGGAACAAGAGGAGGCMAATGGCTGCATTAARAAGAGCATCCTTCYRGCTCACATTGATAAGGAATAAATGKCCATTGATAAGGAATWAATCAGTCTGCAAAGCTATGTCAATGTGCTCTGGAACATGAAACTCTGAGGAATGCAGCTCTATGAGGAAAAAGAGGTAAAGCCATATGACCGAACCCTGGGCAGGGCATCAGTAACCCAGCTGGGTTACGAGAGCTGGGGGACCTGGACAAGAGAAGCTCCCTTGAAAATGGGGATTTCTTTACACCCTTGAGATCACTGAAGTGATCAAACTCACRTTATATTCCTCAGGTGATGTGTATTTTTTT